AAATTAGCCTGAAATTATGGCATAATTAGGTTTGTGATTGAAGTTTTCTTGGTTTGCTATTGGTTTGTCATGTTCATGTTGGATTTGGGAATTTTTTGCAGAAAATGATTTTTCAAAAAATCGATAATAGGTTCAACGAAGAGCCTAAAATTAGCCTTGAATTATGGTGCACTCAATATTCTTACATTCCTTCTATTTGAGATTTGGTTCTGCTAGCTTAACGGTTAAGCTAGCAGAAACCATGATTTTTTTAAAAAAACAGTGTGCGAAAAAATTCGCAATAAGCTAGGATCAGCGCCTTGAATCAGCCTGAAATTATGACATAATTAGGTTTGTGATTGAAGTTTTTTTGGTTTGCTATTAGTTTGTCACGAGGTTTGTCATGTTCATGTTGGATTTGGGAATTTTTTGCAGAAAATGATTTTTCAAAAAATCGATAATAGGTTCAACGAAGAGCCTAAAATTAGCCTTAAATCATGGTGCACTCAATATTCTTATATTCCTTCTATTTGAGATTTGGTTCTGCTAGCTTAACGGTTAAGCTAGCAAAACCCATGATTTTTAAAAAAAAACAGTGTGCGAAAAAATTCGCACTAGGCTAGGATCAGAGCCTTAAATTAGCCTGAAATTATGGCATAATTAGGTTTGTGATTGAAGTTTTTTTGGTTTGCTATTGGTTTGTCATGTACATCTTGGATTTGGTAAATTTTTTGAAGAAAATGATTTTCCAAAAAATCGATAATAGGTTCAACGAAGAGCCTAAAATTAGCCTTAAATTATGGTGCACTCAATATTCTTATATTCCTTCTATTTGAGATTTGGTTCTGCTAGCTTAACCGTTAAGCTAGCAAAACCCATGATTTTTTTAAAAAAACAATGTGCGAAAAAATTCGCAATAAGCTAGGATCAGAGCCTTAAATTAGTCTGAAATTATGGCACAATCAGGTTTGTGATTGAAGTTTTTTTTTTGGTTTGCTACTGGTATGTCATGTTCATGTTGGATTTGGGAAATTTTTTGCAGAAAATGATTTTCAAAAAAATCGATAATAGGTTCAACGAAGAGCCTAAAATTAGCCTTAAATTATGGTGTACTCGATATTTCTATATTCCTTCTATTTCAGATTTGGTTCTGCTAGCTTAACGGTTAAGCTAGCAAAACCCATGATTTTTTTAAAAAAACAATGTGCGAAAAAATTGGCAATAGGCTAGGATTGGAGCCTAAAATTAGCCTTAAATTATGGTATAATTAGTTTTGTGATTGAACTTTTATTTACGAAGTGGTTCTGCTAGCTTAACGTTAAGCTAGCAGAACCCACGTTTTTTTTACATAAATCGAAGAGCAATAAATTCGACAATAGGGTAATAAATTAGCCTTAAATTAGCCTAAAATTATGGCCGAAGAAAAAATTGAAAAATGCAAAGTGGTTCTGCTAGCTTAATGGAGGTCTGGAATAATATTGTAGTCATCTTTATGAAATTTGGTACATATCTTCTATGCATCAAGGTGCATTTTCTGATGTATAGAAATTTTCCATTTCTTTACCAGTGGCGCCGTGTTCATAATTTTATCTGAGAATATTCCTTTTCAACGAATTGGGGGGTTTTTGGGGATGTCAAATCTGAATCTGATATAAAAAAGTTATCTAAAATAAGCCCTAGTATCCTTTACCCAAATAAAGGCCTTTTTTGTACCCCTCAACATCGCACGCCAATGGCGTATCTAAAACTTCTCCGCCAATGGAAATAAAGGGGTTTAAGTATGAAATTCGGATTGCGTAACTTGTTTACCACCTAGCTTTGAGATGGCATTCATGGTTTTTAAGGATTTCCATATACCTATATACCTCCACTCGAAGACTCTAAATCGCGATACATTTCCACAGAGTAAATACTTTTCTGACAAAGCAAGTTGGGAAAAATGACATTGATCCAATTTTGGCTAGAAAAGTTAGGCAAACTTTTTTGTAACGATGAAATGGGCGTGTACACCTTAGTAGAACTTTTAACTCAAACCATGTTTATAATGACCCTTTTATACATAAATAATGATTGACGACATAATTCGATCGAAAAATTAACTGGAATGTTTTATTTTTGGACATAAATAACAGTACCTTCTGAAAACGGACCCACTTATGACGTAGAAACCTCATCTCGCCATAGTTGAAAGAAAATACCAAACGCCCAACGGAGACTGAGGCAACTGATAAATTAATTCTTTCAACTGTGATCTCGCGCTAATTCACTCTGTCAGAAATCATGTATCATTCATCTCTGTCTGGAATAGTCTTGTTTCAGTATTAGGGTTTTGACGTCACATCATCGCCTCGTTTTCAGAGGTCCGAAAAATCGGGGATTTCAATAATTTTTTATAAAACGTAGGGAGCTCACAGCAAGAAACGGTTTGCGGTGGTGAGCTAGTTTGGGTGAGTCCTATCGAATTATGAAATAAATTTTTTTTGTGATATAAGCCCATTGCACGCCACAGTTTTGGGATTTTTCAGTTTTTAAACTTAAGACGAAAAGTTTACATAAACTTAAGTCCAGAAATGCTTCGTTTTCGAGATACAGGGTGTCAAGGTTTCAATAAAAAATCGTTTTTTTTTATTAATTACTCAAAATTCTGTTTTCCAATTTCAATGATACTTGGTTATTTTGTTAACAGTAGCAAGAAGCTTCTTTTGGTGTAATTAGATTCGAAATAATCATTTCAGTGGCGTCGTAGTGGGTTACCTTTTTGATATTTATGGTATTCGATATATACATATATATTTCTTTTCTTCAAACATTTTTCCAAACAATGTGTCACTGACAAGCTATTAGATTTTTCTTTTAGGCTCTCTGATATTCAAGATGGCGCTCTCTTGCCATTTTGAAACTCAAAGTTGTCGTTTTTTTTCATAAAAAAGTACATGCATGTTCATCTCCTATTTGAGCCTTTCAAATTTTGTTGCGATATACCAGGTGGTTCAGCGTGTTTAGCGTACGGATACGTACCACCTCGCATACCACGCTAAATGATTGGTACTAAATACGGGTTAATGATATGTGATTTATTCAAGATATTAAACACGTTACCATGGCAACACAACTTCTTAAACACATTACCATGGCAACAGAGTTTTTTAAACACACCTTCAATCGTTCGAGTTCTGTCCACCTGTCAATTGTAGGAAGTGGCAACTGTCATTTTCGAATTTTTTTGCAATCAGAATTATTCAAACAATTTCTGTTTGCATCAGAATTCTTCATTAAAAATGTATGCGAAATGTAGACGAAAGTTAATTCGAAGAGAATGTTTTAGGTAGGTACTTGCATATTTCCAAGATGTTAAGCATGACAATAATCGTAAAGCACAATATTTATGTGAGAAAAATTATGCAATCAGAATATGGATACAAACCAGAGAAATCGAAAACTTTGACACCTCAGCGAATCGAAGAGTTTTTATCTACTACGTCATATGAAATCTTATTCACAAAGGTCAGTAAACAAGCAATTTCAATAGAAATGTAGCTATCCTATGGTCTCAACGCACATCTACAATCAATATAACTTATACGTCTCTCGTTGGTTGCATGCAGTTGCATAGTATTATGTATTATGTAGTAGGTTAGCAGATAGGTTATAGTCTAATTTTCAGAATTATGGGATCTTGTCGAAGAGAGCAATTATGAGTTCGTAGAAAAAGTATAGTATGTAACGCGTTTATAAACTCTTCTAGACACTCGTTTATTAAACACTCGCTCTGCTGCGCTCGTGCTTGAAATACTCGGTACTAAAATGACGTTTATAGCACTTGTTACATAATATACTATCTTAGTTAATATACCTGTATCTTGAAAACGACGAACTTACGAACATACATATTTTTAGAAAATGTCTTTCTTGTTTTAACTTTAGCAAAATGCCCCTGAATTTCTACACGTACTTTAGAAACACTCTATTTACACATTTCAACTCAATCAGGAAGTGGATTATAGTGGATTATAAGATTCAAGGGACTAGTTTTTATAGTTTTTTGTGTTTTCTCATTGATTAGGTCCGTAATTCTTTTATCTCATATTAATATACTGTCTGTAGGTTATTAATATTTTAATATATTTTTTTATATACAGAGAAGTGCACAAAAAACGGCCAGGACTGTCACTTCTGAATTACTAGAGATAGGGATTTGAAAATTGGTGGGTACCGAGTATTACAAATTGCTCATTAATTGATGAAACATTTTTTTTCCTATCAGTTCCAGTTTCACCGGAAAGGACCCCAACTTTTGATTTTTAAATGGGACACCCTGTATTGTATTCCATAATCAGTTAGGGATTATCATGACGAATTCAACGATACCGGGTTTGATAGGTTTATTTCAAACAATCAAAAAGATATTTGCGTTCGAAGTTTCCATATGCTCAATGGGTGTGACTTCGCAATATCAAAACTTCTTTCTCTGTCACACTCATTGGGCATATGGAAACTAAGAACTCGAATATCTGCGTAATCGATTGAAATAACCCTATCAAACTCGGTATCGATGAATTCGTTATGACAATCCCTAACCGATTATGGAAAACAATACAGGGTGTCCCATTTAAAAATCAAAAGTTGGGGTCGTTTCCAGTAAAACCGGAAGTGGTAGAACAAAGATTGATTCCTCAATTAATGAGCAATTTGGTATACGTACTGCCCACCAATTCTCAAAACCCTATCTTGAATAATTCAACAGTTACAGTCCCGGCCGTTTTTGTGCACTTCTCTGTATATTTGCTATGAAATAATTATTATAGGTAACCATTATAATGTAGGTGTTCTTTATTCTTGTTACTTGATTATGGCTAATATATTTCTATCATTATAAGGATCAAGAACATAAACACTGAACTTGAAGCTCAATAAAACTGTTTAATATTTGAAAAATATGGTGTTCGGGAGTCAAGATACAAAATTACATGTTATCATTGGGTAATAGTATTATATTCCATTAATTATTATTCTTGTTTCAGATAATCAGAACTCACTAAACATGGGTGTTCATGGTCTCTGGAGACTCATTGAACCTTCTGGTAAACCAGTACCACTCGAAACATTAGAAAATAAGGTACTAGCAGTTGGTATCCTTTTTATTGGAATAAACTACGTGGCTACCGACATACAACATACTTGATTTCCTTACATATTTGAAAAGATGTATCCATTTGGTTGCATCAAGCAATCAAGGGATTTCAGGACTCCAAAGGGGCCCCAATACCAAATGCACACCTACTCGGGATATATCATAGAGTGTGCAAATTATTGTACTTCAAAATAAAGCCGGTTTTTGTTTTTGATGGAGGAGTGCCAGTTCTCAAAAGACAAACCATAGTAAGTACATTATAAAATGATATTCGTGAATGTCAAAACCTCAGCAATGATTTCTTTCCAATTATTATTCATACTCTGTCATGGCTGGATTCACGTATAATAGGATCAGATCTTTATAGAGCAAAGGGTGGCAATAGTATATTATTATACAAGTTTTTTAAGACACTATTTCATCGCATTTTTCTATTTTCCATTCATTTGAACTCTTTTATTTAAAAAAAATCATCAATAAAAACACCAAATATCAGAATGAAGTAAGTATAGTTGGTAACGATGCAAATACATTTGAATGTTCATTCCCAAATTTGGCAGATGGTAGAAAAACATATTCAAATCAACATCATTATTCCAGTGATATAATTTGAAATTGTTGGTCTATCAAAATTCTGAATTTCCTAGTTTGAGAATGACTGAAGAGGCATCCCTCCTGAACTGAGGGAATTTGCCCAAACGGCTATAAATGATTTGTTGCCCATGCAAGAAACCTCGTCCAGCTTATGAAAAAGAATTCCACAATTTCCAAGTATGGTGTCAAACTGGGGACCTATACCACCACAATATGTATGTAAATGTTAAGACTACCTACTTGTTGACCTATATACCGCAATGGTTACTGCATAAATAGTCCTATTGGAATTAACACAATTGGAAAAATGCCAAGAATAATTGCAGAATATCCAAAATTACCAAATCCTGTGATTTTTACAGGATATTGTTTTCGGCGTTCTAGTGTGTCCCATTTAGCAAATAGAGGCGGTGAAATCCTCAGCAGTGAAGAGAAAAATGCTACAACACATTCTGATGCCTTACGTCACAGTCGCATTTCATAATCAATAACTTGAATAATAAGACTAATGAGCATAATTTTGTCTCAACAGCAGCCCAATAAAACTTACAAACAAATTTGATAGGTATTTGCTCAAGATAAGATACCTGTAATGTGTGTAATGTGCGTTCTATCTCTAGACGCTAGTGTCTCTGACAGTTTGACGGTGACGTTACCATTACCAACTTTGAAACAAGAAATTTTGTGTGTCCTAACAAAAGGGTCTTTCAACAAGGACCGGTCGATGTTGTAATTGAATAAAACAAGCTGTGTGTGAAATATCAACGATTTTTTATTTTATTTGAATGGCCCATTTATGCCATTATTTATGGAATATGACATCGTTCAAATGTCCGCCGCGGCTTCGAATGGTGGCACGGATCCGAGAGGTTCTCATTTTCAATGACTCTGCTGCATAAATCCGGCTGAATCTGAGCAATGGCTTGCAATGTTCACTTTCAGGGCATCGGTCGATTGCGGCTTATTTACGTAGACCTGCGACTTCAGAAAACCCCACAAGAGAAAGTCTAGTGGAGTCAAATCGCACGATCTTGGCGGCCAATTCACATCACCTCTGCGAGAGATAACCCTACCCTCAAACCGTTCGTGCGGAATGTCCATTGTATCGTTCGCTGTGTGGCACGTTGCGCCGTCTTGTTGGAACCACATGTCGTCCACGTCCATATCGTTCAATTCAGGCCAAAAGAAATTGTTAATCATTGATCTGTAGCGCTCGTCATTGACGGTGATGGCCTCGCCAATGTCATTTTCAAAGAAGTACGGACCAATGACGCCGCCGGACCAAAATCCACACCAAACAGTAACTCTTTGTGGATGCATTGCCACCTGGTGAACCTCCTGTTGGTTGTGTTCATCCCATATACGGCAATTTTGCTTATTAACATACATCCAAAAATGGGCCTCGTCGCTAAAGATTATTTTTCGGCCAAAATCGGGGTCGGGTTCCAAACGTTCCGAAGCCCACTGAGCGAACAAACGGCGTTGTCTATGGTCATTAACTTGCTGCTGGGTCAGTTGGATCTTGTACAGGTGCAGGCCCAAGTCCCGGCGCAAAATTCTCCAAGTTGAAGTCTGCCAAAGGCCTAGTTCTTGTGCACGGCGAGAAATCGACTGCTTCGGAGTCTCCTGCACACTCTGACGGACAGCGTCGATATTAACGGCCGATCTGGCGTTCCTTTGACGTAAGGGTGTTGGTTGGATGTTTACCGAACCGGTTGTCTCGAATGTGGCTACCAAACTTTGGAGAGTCGACTTTGAAGGGCCACTGCGTCTGCTGTAAAATGGGCGCAATGCGCGCAACGTTTGCACTAACGAACACTCATTTTGATAATAAAGTTTAATCATTTGGACATGCTGCTCGATCGTGTAACTTGCCATGGTAATTTGGCATCAGTGACTGAATAGAATACAACAGATTTGACAGATGCCCCCAAAAAACATGGCCGCCACACACTGTCAACATCGACCGGTCCTTGTTGAAAGACCCTTTAGAATCTCTTTCGATAGGCATTTGGGTGTCATAATGACTTCATTGAAGACGCAAAATAGGAAAACAGATTTTTTAAACCTATTGATTATGCTGTTTTATATCTTGCATAACAAGATATTTTATAAATTGATCTAAACACACTCCACATCAACACCTAGTGTTACTCTGGTAAGTCCAGAAATCAGATTGTGGCAATATGTTGAAGCTCACGTGAATTATCGCAATCGATGTTTTAATAACAGATAAGAATGTGTATCGATGAAAATGGCCAACCTGGAATTTTCAAAGTTCAATATATCAAAAATGGTTACGAATATCAATATGGATGTTGAGATAAAATATGTCCGTGTTTCGATTCTTCACCAAATGGCCTAAAAATATATGGGGTGTTCCATTTGAAAAACTCGAGAAAAATCACTTCCAAAAGTTCCGAATTGAAAAATCATTTTTAGCAACCATGTATAATTTGAGGGCATAAAAATTCTATAGAAATATCACGCATCTTTCCAGCAAATGATATTATGTTTATTCAAAAAAATTAATAACATCGAAATGATCGAACAATATTATAGGAGTGGATAGAGGTCACAAGGAAGCTTCAAAAAATGTGCTAATATATAGGGCATTCCATTCAAAAAAAGTGATCCTGACCGTCTAGATTTTCACCGGTGCCCCCTGTATATGCGGCAATAATGTCTAGTTATGAACCTTGTTGTCTCATTCACATTCGTTTTTGAATCAAGTTTCTAACTAGAGCAATCGAGCTCCGACGCACTAATGCTCCACCCATAGGATTTTTTATTCAATGGAGAATGTGGCAGCAGAGCAGTGGCTAACTGATTTTCGAATTATGTTTCCTATATAGGGTGTCCCAAGTTATCTTATACGGGCAATATCTCGCTTATTTGACAAAGATAATCAGAAAATTGAAAAACTGCTTTGAATAGCATCGAAGCACCTTTCTAACGACTCATAAAAAAATGGATTACATTTGACGACTCTGTGGTAGCTACTCTTCACTTTTCATTTTCAAATGGCACACCCTATATTTTATTCCATAATCGGTTAGGGATTATCATAACGAATTCAATGATACCGGGTTTGATAGGGTTCTTACAAACGATTACGGAGATATTCGCGTTCTAAATTTCCATATGCTCAATGAGTGTGACAGAGAAAGAAGTTCCGATATTGCACCATCACACCCATTGGCAATATGGAAACTTCGAACGCAAATATCTCAGTAATCGTTTCGAATAAAATACAGGGTTTGCCATTTGAAAATAAAAAGTTAAGAGTAGCTACCACAGGGCTGTAAAATGTAATCCATTTTATGAGTCATTAGGAAGGTGCCTTGATGCCATTCAAAGCAGTTTTTTTCATTTTCTGATTATCTTGCGAGATATCGACTGTATACGATAACTTGGGTCACCCGGTATAATCGCCCACTTCAATTTGAAAACAAAATCATATGTGTGGTTTCTGATACGTTCGACATTTCTAAGACTAATGACCACTTGCATGAAGATAACATACACTAACTTAATTATATTGCAGGCTAAACGAAATCAACAGAAATCAAGAAATACTTCAGAAGCTGATAGGTTACAAAAACAACTTCTAAACACACTCATGAAACATACAGCAATAAGCAAAGTGTTATCGGAAAAAACGAAAGCTTCTCTAACAACCGAAACAAAGACGAACACAGACACTCTTTATGCGTTACCCCCCTCAGAATTAGATTCAACAATATCATCTGATGATGAAGTCGAAGAATCCACATCAGGTTCCACAGACTCAAGTCCAACGAAAAAGTGGGATCTTCATACCATCGACATGAATAGTGTCCATTTCAAATCGTTACCAGTAGATGTAAGGCACGAAATACTGACTGAACTGAAAGATACCAGAAAACAAAATTCTTGGGGAAGACTTCATGAACTACCAAAACAAAGTGATGACTTTTCCTCTTACCAAATGAGTAGATTACTCAAAAGACAAGCGGTCCAAGCAGCATTAGATGAGGCAGCACAAGAAATGGGAGGCATGTCATTGTCTATAGCAGAACTAGAATCAATCCTCAAAGACCGAGGCATACAAACAACAACTGATAATATCGGAAAGAGGATAGCTTCAGATGAAAATACTCGATATCTATTTATCAAAGATGTTAAGCAAGCTATGGAAAAGGCTAGGCAAGAACAACTTGCCGAGGATTCCAAGCAGACAGAGTTAGCCTCGGATACAAACAGCATAACAGAAAATATGAAAGTTGGACTTGAAGAAGATGATCAACTTCAACAAGCCATTGAGCTGTCTTTGCAAGAATCTACAACAAATAATGAAATGGTAGATATCAGAAAAGAAATAAATAAGACTAAAGCAGATATCGAAGAAGAGACACAACTTGAACAAGCAATAGCATTATCCTTGCAAGAAACTCCATCTACCTCAGGGGTAAACAAAGGAGAAATGGTATTTTCTTACTCGGAACATTCTAGTGATGTAGATCTTGATTCAGGTTCAGATGAAGATGGTGATTATTTAACTACAAAGAAGTCATTATCATCAGCTCAGAGTTATATGATGGAATATAGTGGTTTAACACCAAGTGAAATATCAAAAATTATTGAAGGGAATGGAAAGAAAATCACGAGAAAAAATACAATGGAAAAGTCACTGAAGCCAGTGTACGAGAAAAATATTGTTATTGATTCATCATCTAATGAAATGAACGATGAATCTGAGGAAAAGATGAAAAAACGAGTATTTCAACTAGAAAAAAATGAGAATAATGCAGAAGCAGTTGCCGTCAGTGAAAATAATGAATTACAAGATGATTCAAAGAATGATTACAGTTCATCACAGAAAGATATTGAGCCTAAAGAAGTTATTGAAATTGTGTCTAATGATGATGATGGATCATCTGACTCCAGTGATTTTCAGGAAGTATCCGAACTCAAAGTAGATAAAACCCCATTGGAAATAGTGATAGATCCTAACAAAGACATTGACGATGATATTTTCAAAGACATTTTTGCAAACGAAGTAATTACTACTGAAACTGAGATAGATAAAAATGAAAATCAGTCAAACTTACATGCAAAACAAATGGATAAAATTGTGGAATTACCAGAAATATCAAAAATATCTGAAGTCACTAATGAGCAATTGCCTATGAAAATGTCATCTGAAGATGAATCGAATATTTCCATGGCAGATAAGGAAGAAGTGAAAAATATGGAGAATGGAAGCAGAAAAGATGAAGTAGTGGAGACCTCTAAAGTAAACTATGAAATTGATGATGGTGAAAAAATATCTAGGAACATTCCTGAAAATTCAAAGGGTCCAACACTGACCATACAAGAAATGACTGAATTGAAAAAATCCCTGCAGAAAGAGAGAACAGATCTGTTGATTGAAAAATCAACAAAAGAGCGATTAGCTAGTAATATTACTGATCAAATGTATCAGGAAGCTCAGGTAATTTTTTACATTATATTTTGTACTCACTCAGCTACAGACCTCAATTCTTTATATTTTTTCTATTGTCGATCAGTTTAATCATTTGTATTTTCTCAACTAGTCTATTCAATTGTGAAGACTGAAATATTCAATTGGTAGATCTATATTCTCATGGTTTACATCGAAACATCAGTTTATATTTTTGAAAATCAAAATTCTTTCATCTCGTTTTTTATGGCTGAAAAATTGCACTTTCCTGTGCGGAAATTTGCACTCGATTTCGCGATTTGATAACGAGATAAGAATTATGCCATCCGATACCAATTATTGAATGGTAGATCTTAAAAACCTACCTGTGCCACATCTCAGTCTGAGCCAAATCTACGGCACAGCGATTCATTTGCTCCAATCATTCCGGACATACTTCCGTCATGTGATAACAAGTTGAAACAAAATGCAAATGAAAGGGAAAAATGTCCCTTTTGCGAATATCCAAACGCGATTCAATCTGATCTAAGTTAGTGGTAGAGCGTCAATATTTCCGTGAATATTTCGCCCTCGTTGAGAGATAATATCGCAAAGGCGACAATGGCATGGCACAATGGTTTCAAATGCCTTTGGGATATACAGTATGATGCAAATGTATGGAATAAATTCATTATTTCAGAAATGGGCGACATTTGAAGAAATTCCAAAACACGTGAATTTTAATTTTTGAAGCCTCATCTCATGACATTCATATGAAAGATGTTACGTCACTGGTGTAGAAGTAATGACGTAATGGACGATTTTTTCAAATACAAGCAGGGGTCATGTGACACCTCGTTTGAAAGGTCTACTGATCGTCTATCCAACAGTCAAAATTTTGCATAAGAATATTGCAATTAAAATGGATTATCATTTGGTTAACTGAATCTTGCAGAGGTCTGCTACTGAGAATTGAACATCGAAGGGTCGTCTAGTTGAAAAAATAAACAATAAAAAAAGTTCTGAACTCTAGTTTTTGTATTTTTTTTTCGGAAGTCGTCTTGTTTTGAAATGAATTTATTCCATACATTCGCATCATACTGTATATCATTTCGTTGACGTTCTAAATTTCACCTTCTTTTTCCGCTTGTCTTAATACTATTTGCCCGTCTTTTTTCATCATCGAACAATTTCAACGATACGGCTGAATCTAATGATACATTTTCAATATGAAAATCGAATAGAAATATGATGTTCTTGCGATTTTTCCATATTTACTATTTGGTGAACAATCATACCAGCTGACGGGGACCCCCGTCCATTCGCCTTTCTGCGATCTGCCATTCAATTATCTAGGACATGTCAAATAGGCAAGAAATCACTTTCACCGTAGTAAATAAGAAAACTTAAATTTTTTCTGAAAATTCATATCGCACAACTAGTTTCAGCCTTTATACAGTGGACCAAAAGAGTGAAGAAGGAAGAATAAAATTTAAAATAATTTGAATACCGTTCTGTTGACATTTGACATTCAAAATTAAATGACTGTCAGCTGGTAACACTGTTTGGTAAATATGAAAAACACAAAAAATCATATTTCCTGTTGATTTTCCTATATAAAATGTGTCATTGAAGTAAATCATGATTATATAATGTGTGCCCAATGACAAAATAAGAGCAAGTTGCTGTAAATCAGTAAATACCTATCCAAATGTCTTATATAGCCTTGTTCATTATATTCATTTATTATTTCAGCGAATTTTATACCATAAATTTATATATATTTCTCACATGGATTTTAAAGTGTATTGTACTAATGGATGTCAATATTTTGAAATAAGTAACTCGCCCACGCACAGGCTATCTGCCCTAGTGGATTTTTGTTTGTTCGAAAGTATCTCATCAGAATATACTATACATATACTATTTTTTGTTCATTTCCAAAATTCATACCAATTCGTATTTTGTGAATATTTTGAATAAACATTATTATTATTATTTTTATTATTGAAGACAGTCGGTGTTGTTATTACAATATTGAAGGTTACTCATTTCTCGTATCACTCTGTATAAGGCAGAGAAGGCCTGAAGAAAGAATGAGTTATAAATGTCGGTTGTTTTATGTTGTTATGGTGTTGCTAAAACAAGAAAATAATAATGTAACAAAACTTTAATATATTGTATGTATTCTCGTATTTCACGGAGATTAAAATCAGTTTCTAAAAGTCTATTTCAATTACTGTGTCCACTGTTAGCCCTCTACCACGGGCACCTGGATAAAATCAACAGTCGGTAGAAGAAGGTGAAATTTAGAGATTTCTCATGAAATATCTCGATGAACAGCGGTTTGGTCACATTTTTCATTATCAAATTCGTGTTTTTGAGACAGAAATACGTAAGTACCAAAACAATTTTCGAAACCATCGCATCATAAGTGCAAAATTACCGTTGTTATATTCAACCCCTTCACTTTCAGGGCAACTAACCCTCACATTTTAATTAGCAACCCTAATTTTGAATTGACTCGGCCGTTACTTCCATTAAATCCATGATAAATGTAAAAACTTCACAAACGATGAGATTTCCACAAAATTTATTAAACACACGACATGTTTCGCTAACACAGTAGCTTCGTCGTGATATACTGGTACAATGAACTAAATTAACGTTGGCTTGCTTAACTTTTATATATCTTACCTTCCCAAACTGAAGGATTAGTTACCTGTGGACAGGTACGATAAACCTTCATTTTCGGAAATTAGGCATAATATATAATCTCAATATAAAGAACTCAATATCATAAAACAGATTGCAGTCAACAGACAGTATTCTTTCTAAAAAACTTCATCATAAAGCTATTCAAGAAGTTTATCCTACCATCAAGAATAACAATCAAAATTATAGAACTTTAACCTATTTCGGATCATCAACTGAGAAATTAGCTTCATTTCGACATAAACAGGACTTAAAAGTGGCATATAGAACAAATAACACGTTGGGACGGTTTATCAAGAATAATAAAGACAAAACTTCTAAATTCGAATAATCAGGGGTATACAAACTCAAATGTGGATCTTGTCCTAAGGTTTATATCGGTCAGACAGGTCGTACGTTTAATCAGCACATTCATGAACATAAGATGAATTTTATGAAAAAGAAAACAAATTCAACATACGCCAACCATATATTAGAAGAAAACCATAGTTTTGATGATAATTTTGAAATTCTGCACATAGAAAATAAAGGACTGAAACTCAACCATTTTGAATCATTAGAAATCAACAAACTCAAAAATTTTGACATTTTACTTAATGATCAATTAGACCTTAATAGTTCACCACTGTTGAATTTGTTTTCTTAGTAAGTAATAATATGTATTTGATATCAACTCTTTCAAGTTAATCCGGTATACCGTAATTTAATGTAGATATTGTGCCCATTTTCCGAAAATGAAGGTTTATCGTACCTGTCCACAGGTAACTAATCCTTCAGTTTGGGAAGGTAAGATATATAAAAGTTAAGCAAGCCAACGTTAGTTTAGTTCATTGTACCAGTACATCACCTGACGAAGCTACTGTGTTAGCGAAACATGTCGTGTGTTTGATAAATTTTGTGGAAATCTTATCGTTTGTGAAGTTTTTACATTTAGCAACCCTAACTCATGTCGCCATTCTTGAAGTCCTTGTGATTCTAGATAAGTTACATCTATTTTGTCCACAAAATAGCAGTGCTTGACCTCACGAATTTTTAGATTTTAAATCATTATGATAATGAAACTAGTGATAAACATACCCAACTAATTACTATATGATTTGTTCAAAATGGTTTCCATTGTTTGAGAACACAATGGAGACCATTTCAAACAATTCTTGAAACGCCCCCCCCCCCTCTATATCTCAGCTATCTGCGATCTTTACCAAATTTGTATTGGTATGAATAATCATCAATATGACCAGTTCTTCAAAGACAAACATCATTTTAGACAGTGCCGTGCATTTTTATTGAAATAAATAGGGGTCGGTTTTTTATTAAATCATATTTGCCAAACAGCCAAAATCAATCGATTCACACCCTGTATCTCGAAAACCGGTCATAGGATCGATCTGTAAATTGGACCGTGTAATAAGGACGCTAATATCTGCAACATATCAAATTTTCAAAAAAATTAGACGAAATACATTTTCCGTACTAAATGTGCGGGGTCCTTTGTCACCTGTCAACAATTTTTCTATTGAACGGAAAAAATTCGTTCCATCCTGTATAAAATATAATCACTGAACAGCCGTTTACATTTTGAAAGGAACATTAATATGAGTTAATTTAGTTGCCCGAACCAATGCAACCGTTTAGAAGGTATAAACGAAATATATTTTCCTATTCTTACTCTCAAGATCAATAACTCCGTAACGAAGTGCGATATGTATTTTTTATATGAAGTACTAACATTTTTTTGGTTCTATCAGCCTTATTATTAACGAAATGACCTTTCCGGACACCCTGTATAAATTGTTTCGCAAAATTTTCATTGTGTCATCAGTTGAAGATATTATATTGAGTGCTGCTCGTTCTCAAATTGTCACCCTGTATATATCCGAAACATGTACCTGATCATGTGTTACTTCCAAATCAAAAAGTCATGGAGATGTCTTCTGCTGTACATTATCGCCACTTTGAGCAGTTATGGACTTCTATCAATGATTTGTTTATCTTTCCTTGTGGCACCTCCATGTTTACTTTCGCAAGGGTGATGATCTATTTGTATATTTTCTATCATTTCTATGATTAATGCAAACAAACTGCTTTTGCCGATTCGTAATAGAGTCTCAATTCAGAATTTTTTTCCACGCCCTGTATGATGAATGTCAATTAATCATACACCCAAAAGCAAAAATTATCCAACAATTTTTCGTGTTTCACACAGTCAAAGCTGAGATTACAGAAAGAAATGCCTTATCACTTCTAGGGCGTTGAATTGCTGACAAAATCAAAACCGTGACCCAATCATTTTCATTATAAAAAAGTATTGTTTCAATTTTTTCTACATCTTATGTATCAAAACAAATCATGTTCAGAATTTTTTTATTTCCAAATTATCCAGTCGTGTTTTTCAGGAATTGCTAGAACTTTTTGGTGTACCATACATCATTGCTCCGATGGAAGCTGAAGCTCAGTGTGCATTTTTGGATGAGATCGAACTGACAGATGGAACCATAACCGATGACAGTGATGTCTGGTTATTTGGAGGACGAACTGTGTACAAGAATTTTTTCAATCAGAGTAAATATGTGATGGAATTCAAGTCGGAAAACATCAGACATCATTTCAAGCTGAGTCGTGAGCAAATGATTCTGCTTGCTTTGCTGGTAGGAAGTGACTACACAACGGGAATACAAGGCATTGGGCCTGTTACCGCTTTAGAAATCCTGGCGGCATTTCCTCCTGACAAACTCAATGAATTTAGTATTTCACAAGGACAGTTGATATCTGGGCTGAGAGAATTCCGATCTTGGTTCACTAAAGGAAAAACTGGCGGTCCTAGTAGATCCACTTTGAAAAATAAATTGAAGAACATCACATTTTCAGATAATTTTCCTAGTCTCCAGGTGGTCCAAGCCTATTTAGAACCGACCGTAGAAAACAGCAAAGAGAAATTTTCATGGGATAAACCAGATGCTGTAGCATTGGCATTGTTTGCCAAAGAAAAATTTGGTTGGGGCTCTAGAAAAACAGAGGAAATTCTTAATCCCGTCATAAAAAGGTTAGAAGAGAATCGATCACAAAAGTCGATAAGGGAATACTTCAAAACTAAGTTTAAAGTCGACTCAGGAGATTTGAATGAAAAAATGAGCAATAGAGTGAAAACTGCCATAGGGAGGTTTGGAAAAAGTAAAGAGGAACTAATAACTGAAGATATGGAAGAACTAGAAAAAGAAAAACGCACGATTATCAATAAGTCTCGTAGAACTAATCAGGCTAGCCAACAGAGAAGAAGAAAAGAAGCAAAACACACTGAAACTGAAGAACAGAATGAATTTTCTCAAAGGAGTAAGAAAAAGAGAACAAGTAAACCAGAAATAAAGAATGCCCCAACGAAGACAAATGAATCAATTGAAACACAAATGATTGATGATAATGTGGAAACGGTAGATAATAAAGTTCAACAATCCAGTGTCAAAATGAATAAAAAAGGGAACAAAAAGAAAAAATATGATGCAAAGGAAAGTCATAAAAATACAGCTATTACCCAAGAAGATGATGACAGTAAAACTAATAATTCTGATGAAAAAGTAGATGATGTGGTAACTGAATCCGTGAATCCAGTTGATGAGTTGAAAGAATACGAAAATTTGGCAACACAGTTGAGAATGAGACGAAGAAAGAAAAATGAATTGATTAAATTAAAGCAGGAAGAAGTACCTAACAAAAAAACGAAGCTAACTGTTCCAAAGCAATCAACAAATTTACCGATAGAACCGGAAATTGATGAAGCGATCAAACTATTGACAGCTACTACTTCTAGATCTATACAACGTGAACAAGAAATCCAAAAAGAAATGAAAAAAAAAGTAGATACAGCTCTAGAACTGAGCAGGAGTGCCCCTATGTTTCACAAAGAAGAAGTTATTCATCAGAGATTGAGGAATAGAAGTGATTTATTGAAAAATAAATTGAGAGCAATAGAAGTATTCCGGAAATCTAAAAAAGGTCCAGGATATGTTCAGAAGCGAGGCAAAAAGCAAATAGTGCCTAAAGAAGATGCTGGACTCTCTGAAGATAGTGATTGAAACTCTTCACCTTGTTGTATGCCGAAACAAACCTCAAAAGATCTGTTTGCAAGGTAGACATATTGATACATCTACCAGTTCAGGTTTTTATCCATTGTGATTTTTTTTATATAGGTATTGCATATACGATACTGAGTTACATTCTATATAAACTGTTATTTATTTTAATAAAATATCATACAAGAATAATAATTTTTGTTTTCTTCAACAGCACAACAAATTTACTATAATGTCGTCACATAGTATAATATACTATTAAACTACTCTCTGCCGCCTTCTGGCCCAGTACATGATAGACCGGCAGATTGCTGACCATGGCCAAGCTGAACTGGCCAAACGTCAGCCCATTATTGTTTGGCATATTGTTATCGTTTGCCTATAATTCAGCCGGCACTGGGCCAATAGTGTTGATTCGTATTATGATTTTACCTACGTCATACAATCGCGTACCCACTATATGACATACCGAAATCGTTTAACTATAATCTAGCCGGCACCGTGCCAAAAGTAATATATTTCAGTTTCAATTGAAGAATATAATTTTTAGGACGGCGGAATATCGCAGTGATTCAGGCGCTCGCCATCGAAAGGTTGCTAGTTTCGAATACCCGGAAAAAACAAAGAATTTTTATGTATAAAACGAGTTATAAATTATAATTTCAGTTGCCTTGGTGCGTGATGATTCTGCACGATTTGCTGTTGCGTTTCAATTAACAGTTCTGCTCCTGAGGTGGCGTATGGAGTTAGTAACAAAGCCCACCCAGAACACAAATGAGCTGAAAGACCTCTCGTAAGGTCGATGGCCAGTTGTTACCTATGTACACTCGTCGGTTGATGGACGTATGAGCGCTCTTATTGCAGCGGTGATTAAGAGAGCTGACACCGTCCATGTGCATGTGCGACATGTTCTTTGAAGATGACTGTACATATACAGATACCAACTAAGTACATATCCTATCACTACCTACTATGATTATTCATGGCATTTAAATAAGGTTAAGTATCCACCTCACGAGAGGTCCTTTATAGCTCGTGTGTGTTCTGTGTAGGAATCGTTACTAACTCCACTGTTAATTGGAACGCAACAGCGAATCGTGCGAAATCATCTCCGGCGGAGGCTATGAGAATTATAATTAATAACTCGTTTTATAAACAAACATTCTCCGCTGCCAGGACTCGAACCTCTTTCGGCGTTCTGGTCGAGCGCTCAACCACTGCGCTATTCTGCCTTTCAGTTGGAATATGAGTTCGAAATGTAACATGTCATTGAGAAATAATTTCAATTATTTGATACAAAAAACCCAGGTAGCAATCAGGAGCTTGTATCCTTTGCTAACCGTAAATTCCGTGCTGACATTGGAAAACGAACTATTGATTTATTAGCAAATAATTAGGCCTGTAATGACACGCCTGCCCAGTGTTTTGCAGCGCCTCGCCTACCCAAATAAGTAGGCTACAGGTACTGCAGAACAAAGTTCTCCGTATCATTACTAATGGTAATCGATATTCTCGAGTGGCAGATCTCCATGAGCGGTGTGATGACATCCCATTCATGAGATTATATTCTGAAAATATTAGACAAATTTTATAGATTCAATGTTCAGGGTTCAACTAGAGCTGAGCATGGAATCTATAAAAAACACGGATTGATATACGAATCAACCGACGTTTTTGGAGAACCCCTAAGCGATTAGAGGGATTCTCGTCACAGAAAACTGAAAAGCTGTGGAAGTTTGATGACATCGCCTAAGCGAGGTCCTTGAAATTCCAGACAGCCATACGGTCCCTGGCATGTCAAGAGTCTCGCTAAGGTCCGAGCGATTCTCTGGCTTGAGTCTGGCTGTATGGGTGGGCTGCCCTAGACGGCTGATTCTGGACGTTGCTTGCGCGGCAGAAATTTTGAAAGGGTTTTTTGATTTTTATTTTCCCTTGATTATAACGAAAATTACCACACACGTCAATGTTAGCATTACCCTAACCCAACTGGGTTCACTTCGGATATTTCTCATCATAAGGAGCTAAGCTTCAGGAGATGAGACTAGTTTGACAGGCCTTTGATAATAATAATAATATAATAATAATATCAGTTTATTATGATCGACAAGAAATTTCACGGGGCACACACCGCTCTGGCTAACACCAGCCAACTCCACAATGCGCGGAGGACTATTTTTATCAAGTACTATTTTATATGTGTTTGTCCCGTTAGAAACTGTTCAAATGTGTAAAGATAAATAGGAAATAAATGAATTTGAAGTCGAAATATAACCAAGTGATAGCGGAGGACCAAGGTTCGAATCCCGTGGCGGACGTCTTTTTTTTTAATTGAATGTATCGGCAGACGTACTGGCCCATCAATGTTCACAGGAATTTTGCGTTCTGGCCAATTCTGTCCAGCATATTATGGGCCAGAATAAGGCCGACCAAAATTGTTTGCTGGGATTGCTGCCTCATAGCAGAAGTTGGGGTTGCTTCCAGTTGAATCGGAAGTGATGAAATGAATATTTATTATCATTGAAAGTCGATTTCGTACACATGCCACCCACCAAATTTTACAGTCCGACCTCGAATGTTTGAAAAATTAAAGAACTGGCCTACACTTCCACCCCGTTTGTTGGCTCGTCTGACCCATGTCTCCGACACTAAGGCAGGGCCGGATTAAACTTCATATTTGCCCATCGTTCTTACCTGTGTTGAGAGCATGCGATGAGTAACTCAGCTTTTATAAAATCACGAAGGTCTGGCGTTCATGGGATCTTGCTTTATTCCGTTGCGCGCAATCACAGAATACATATTAAGGGCAAATTTCTGTACCCCAGGAGGTATTTGACCACTGTCCGCAATTATAATATTCCGAAATCAGCACTTGCCGCAGGTGTCATTTCACAATTTCCAAATAGATTTACGTCTCTAAAATCGGTCTATCTATTGCGAGGTTACCTCTAATTGCCGCTGAAATGTTAGTGTTTCCTCGTGATTTATTTGTGTTATTTTAGCCTTTTTACATTTTTGTGAGTTCTGTGAACAATATTTAGTGTATCATGGCGCATTCGCATATTTTATTCAAAAGAGTGGATCATCCGAATACAAATTTGACTTTTCACAGGTGAATAAGGTTATGTTATAGTTTGTTGATTTAATAGACATGGGCGCGAAACATCAAACACGCATTATTGCAAAACAGCCGCCGCCGTGCAGTCGTTGCAATAAAACATTTTGTCTCTCGTATTTGAATGTCTCAAACGCAAGGAATCAATTTCAATTCAATCATTTAATGTTTTGTGCATCAATATGCATATAAGTTCCATCGAGTAGTCGACAACGTGCGACCAGGGCGAAGTCAAATGGGCGAGTGGACTTATAATGAATTATTGGCATTCAATTACTACACTGTGTCGTTAAATTAATTTTTGCAACACTTCTCACACTTTTTTTATGTTAATAGTGAGTGTGTGCGTTGTTCGAAATTGTTGAATTTCGGAGCTCATTTCAATCGTACCGTCAAGGCCACTATTTGGCGATACTTCGAACAAATGGTGACGTCAGCTTTTATGCTGGTTCGTCCGTTATAAAACATAATAGGAGGAACCCATGATATTATAGTTCCTTCTTGACTTTTTCGAGCAACCAGCATGTCCAAATATTTCTTATACTCCATAACAAAATTTCATGTGAATGTTGGAGACTTGGCAACATTGTGCTGAATGCTAAGAAGGGACAAGACCACGCCCACAAGTAGTGCGCGCGGTGTCGTCACTTTCATCGCTTCAAATGTCCTCTAGTGTGAATTAATATAATTACTATTTACACAAATGTATTAAGCAAGAAGCCCCAAATCATAAGGGAACATTTTGAGACAATTGATTTTGTATTGCTAAATAAGAATATTATGAATACATAATTGAGCATTTTTTAATGTTTGAATAAGTAATATTTCTGAAGTTCCCAATCGCATTTCAACACATGGCAACTAAGCTATGGTCTGGCCCTACTTACGAAATCGTGACATCAGTTTTTACTCGCGGTAAATTTCTATCCGTTTGAAAATTACCGGCATTCTTTATGATTTTAGCACCTTAAAGTAGACCGGAAAATTCTAAAAGAATATGAAATCGAAAGGTATTAGAGTGATGTTTCTATTTGAGGAATACAAAAACATTAGTCCACTCGCCTATTGTGCGAGAGATAGATCTAACATGTCTATGTGTATCGAGAATCAGATGAACTAGTCAAGCTCCGTGAGCAAACATTTTTTGTCATCAATCTCGAGATTCGTCGAACAACTCTCTACCAAAACTGGTTCGTCAGATACTTATGAGGTATTCCCTTTCATGCGATCCGAGAGATGGAAGAAAGTTTTAAAAAGTGGTATGGCGAGAGCACACATTGATGACGTTTTTGTGATTATTGTGTCATACAACATCTAATTTTATGCATTTCAGAAATACCCTGTATGTATACGAATTTGCATACATCAATCGCCTTCAATTTCATATTCTTCCTAGTGATTGTTTCAGTCTGTCATGCAGTTATTACTTACAAGTGCATCATACATCCTCCAAAATGATGTATGAATTCATTTACCTACCAATTTTTGAAAGGTAAAAGTGAATTACTTGCAGTTAAGTGTAGCTTAGCAACCAGTAAACACTCACATAGTAACAGTCCAAAATGGTCGTACAAATAACTCAGTTTTGAAGAAAAAATCTCCATTATGTACATTTGCACACACACACCCGTAATATATACAAACTTCCGAATGATACATTTATTTCTGATGATCTAAAAGATAAATAATGATGAAACATGAGAGTATCAAAAGTATGGAGGACAGTTCAAACAAGAAGTTATTCTGTGAGAGTAATAGTTATGTATACACCAAGGTGGTAAAGAATACCAGTATTACCCAGGGACCAAGATTATATCCCGCGGCTTCAGCCAAGGGGTATAAGGTCCCGTGATAATCATATCCTTTACTACCATGGTGTATATTACATTTTTATCACCACTAGCAATACATCTTAATCATTTCAGTTCAGTGAAACTGAAATATAAACCTATTGTCACTAGTGATATTCTTTCATTCTGAACTAACTGACACATTTCACTTGAACTAAACTGAATCAGTTGACATGCATGAACGTCATTCGAAAGAACGATTAAGTTCAGTTCTCGTGAAATATTTCCGTTACTTCAGATTGAAAGAATATTACTACTTAATATGAAAGCACTTCTTATCAATATAGTAGCCATAACCATGACAGCATATGACAATATTGATAAATACCTACCTGATTCAAGTGCCATCCCTAGGAATATCGCATCAGACAGTGTCTTTATTGACTAGTGGTTTATAAAATTACGAAAACTACCTTGGTAGTAACAACACACTTTACGCTTTGAAAAGGAGAAAATAATGGTAGGTTTCATAGCTAGTGGTGGAAAAAATCATTTGAGGACTGGATGCATGTTTTTAATCTAGAGTAATTAACACATATTTCTATATTCAATTCATTAATTGAATGAATATACAGGGTGTCCCTGAAAGGTCTGTACAAAATCTTAGGCCATATTACTGAGGTCGAAATAAGTCGACTTAAAGCAACTTACCTCAGTCGGGAATTTCTCCGTTTCCGAGATACCGGGTGGTGAAGATAAAAAATAAAAATCAACAAGTACAGTGTGTCCAGTTTTCGATGCGTTTGGGTGATATCTGTTACCTGTGGAGATAGAATCTCTTCTTCTTAGTGAATTGAAAATTTATACTTTCTGATCCCCCTCTATATCTACGAAGTTTCTTAGCGAAAATGTTAAATCTAAATCTTATCCCATAGAGAATTATACGCAAAATCCAGTGGAGCACTCAAACATTTTTTCGGGGTATGGTTTTCCAGATACTTATGATTTTTTTAAATGGAACACCTGTAATTTGTGAGCTCATTAAATTCCTTTTTCTTTTCTTCAAAATGATATGTAATATATGAATATAAAATTTTCAAAAATGTTCAAAAATCACTAAAACATTGAATTTTAATAGTGGGTTATGAAAGAAATATTTCTATAATTTTTTTCATGAAGAGGACAAAAACAATATCAACACTAATTAACTAACAATACACAAAACTTAGGTACCTGATAGCAACAAATAAATTAAAATAAAAAGTTCATAATGTAGAATAAGTACCTATTTATACCTGATATTTTGTTTTTTTATATACAAGACTTTGTCAATAAGATACCAATCTTCCGACAATAAAGTATATTTTGATTTGATTTGATTATTTATTGATATTTACTAAGACAATTGAATTTCAAAGTTAATCAGTAACTTCGTGCAGCAACAGGAATTTTCCAGGAATTATAAAGACATCCTTTAATGATTTTGAATGCATTAATACATATTGAGAAAGTTTGTGAGGGGAAAATGGACATCAATTTGAACAATTCAATGAATAAGTTACTGAATAATTCAGAAATTCAATTGTTTTAGTAATTGGGTGCTTATTCTACATTATGAACTTTTTATTACTATATATTTGTTGCTATCAGGTACCTAAGGTTTGTATTTTGTTAATTAATTAGTTTTCGTCGCCTTCATGGAACAATTAAAGGAAATATCCCTTCTATTGAAACTTTCATTGTATGAAAAATCCATAGCCCACTATTAAAATTCAGTGTTTTAGTGATTTTTTAACATTTTTGAAAATTTAATATTTATACATTACATATCATTTTGAAGGGAAAAGAAATAAGGAATTCAATGAGCTTATAAAAAACAGGGTGTTGCATTTAAAAAATAATCATAAGTTTGAGTCGCATCTCCAAAACCATACATCGAAAAAAAAAAAATTGAGTGCGCCACTGGATTCTGCGTAAAATTCTCTAAGGGCTAAGATTTTAATTTGATACTGTACACTCCAAGAAAGTATTTTGAAAAATAAAGTTTTGCACTGCTAATTCACTGACCAAATTACATCCAAGATAACAGCAAAATTTTTATTCGAAATAATTTAAATATTCCGGTGCTGCATGGAATATTTAAAACCGAAATATCTCGACATCGGCTTCCTTTAACGGATTATCATCAGTGTATCTTTTCATTTCCTTGACAAATAAAGTAAAACACTACACTGATAAAAATGTTATTTTCATTTTACTTGATTATTTGGGATTTTCTCTCCTCGTTTCTATAAAATAAAACTATGAGTATTATTTCAATATTATGTGTAGTAGGACAAATCAGATGATTTGTCCCAAAATGTCACTGCCTTTAACAAATTTTTCTATCAGGGAGTCTGAAAGAAAAATCCAATAGCTTGTCAGTGACACTTTGTTTGGAAACATGTTTGAAGAAAAGAAAATATGTATTTTGATAACCATAAATATCGAGAAGGTAACCCACTGCGACGCCACTGAATATTGAAAAAATATATAATTTTCACTCATTTTTGGACGTTTCGGGAACGAATCTGCTCCCGTCCTCAACATGAAAATGCAAAAATATTATTCTTTGAAAATTGGGATCCTATAATTTGACAGTATTTAAAAGTGTTATGGCCATTCTAATCCATAAGAAGTGCATTGGTAACCGCCCTCTAATGGCCACAGTGAAAAGGTGCCCGTATTCATGTTTCCCATCCCAGAAAACCCCCAAATATCAATTTTGAAAATGTTCATTAATTCAGAGAAATTCCATTATTATTCTTCAACTTTACCACCCTGTATCTCGGAAACAGCAATTTCGGACTGAGGTGAGTTGCTTTAAATCGGCTCATTCTGACCTCAGGATTATGAGCTGAGATTTTGTACTGACCTTTCAGGGACACCCTGTATACAAACTTCCAAATAATAAACATTTATTTCTGATGATCTAAAAGATAATGATGAAACATGAAAGCATATTAAAAGTATGGAGGATACTTCAAACAAGAATCTATTCTGTCAAAGTAAAATCATTTTTGGATTACCACTGGGTGCTTATTTTTTTATCTAGAGTATATTAACAGCAATTTCTATATTCAGTTTATCAATTGAATGGGTTATGAATAAACAAAAGCGTATCGACCGTTATTTCATTATGAAAAAAATCCATCTACCTAGACTGATTTTTTTTTTTTATTAAAATTTCAAATAATCCATGATGGCAAAATTTATTGAGGTGTGTGGAAATATAGTATGGTGTGCTACTCACGAGTCCAATGACGCATGACGTCACTGCGGGCCTGTCACTGTAATTATTATTTGAAGTTTTAAAATTTTCAAAAATTTATTTGAAAAAAACTAAATTATTTCAATTTCCAACATCATAAACTGGTAACAATGCCTAATTGTGCCATTTTTGGTTGCTGGACTAACATAAAAGTTTTCCGCTTCCCGAAAAGCGATGACTTGTCCAAGTAATGGAGAAGCTTGCTGTCGAGAAAACATCAATTCAAAGAATGGTTGGTATAATATAATCCCTCCTATCATTCCAAAATGTTCACTATCAACAAGAATTCTTTATACACCTTTTCCTACCACTTCGTTGCTCCCGAAAATCGCAAAAATATAAAAGAGGATGCCATTCCAACTGAATATAATAGTTCGATATGCAAGACACATTAACTCAAACTGCGAAACGTTGATTAGAACAAAATGCAACCAAACTGTACACAAATTCAAATTACCGCTGTCAAACCGCGAGACCATGACGCTGTCAATATTGAGACAAGAGGCGGAACATACGCTGACCAATTGTTTAACTAGCAGCAACGTCCACAAAGATGTGTAGTAGCACACCATACTATATTTCCACCATGAAAATAAATAGTACTAATTCTTCTTGCTGTTTATCACCTTAATTCTTTTCTTGGAGATGATTGATGTACATTTTTAGTAGTCCAATTACTATAAATATCCTGCACTTCAGCTAAACAAAATGTACAAAAATACAATACCGACAATTTAATGATTTTAAAAATTCGTACAAAAGTATCTGACGAGAAGAAAATATCCAAGGAAAAGAGAGATTACTGAATCAAAAATTCTCCAGACATAATTTCTACCACCATTTTTTTCCTCAAATACGGCATGTGTTCCTGAGTGAAATTTATTTTGGAATTTCTGGTGATGAATTCCGCAAATGTACATGAAAACATGCCACAATCACTTCCATTCATCTGCTGGGGAATATCTTTCACATTTTCTAATGTAAAGTCGGAGGTTGAGTAAGCTGATTTCTTTTTATCGAGATGCTCTGCTTCTAGGTAATTCCTAAGTGCACTGAGACATTTATTGTTGTTGCCACCCATACTGTCGTAATACCTAAAAAAAAAGAATAGTTTTAAAAAATGCCCAATGAAAAACGGGATATTCTCTCGATCATCTTTCTGATCAACGTAACCAAACGAAATAAAATTTCAAAATTCCATTTACACTATTACATATTTACATGACTAAATCACTCTTCACATACTCTGACCAATCATTAGCCACAGACAACGTGTGCTTATTAGCTGTCTTTCCATTCTGATTGGTCTATCAGCGTTGATGTCTTCAAGGATGTAACCATGGATAGCAAAGCAAAGTCTGTCAGTTCGACATAAAATAATTACGGCTGTAGTCGTCAGAATGAATCGCTCATTTATAGTAAATGCTTTTAATGCTTTGTGAACGTGAAATAGTCTAGCAGAAAAACTCTCTGTTCTGAATATCTTCTCATAATTATGTCTTTCATTGTTAACTCAATTGTGTCGCCGTGGTGGACTCATGGTTTTGCTCAGCAATACAATTTCGTGAACAATGAAGCGACAGAATTATCTCGAATATTCAGAACATCGTGACTTAAGAAATACGCAGAAATTTCTAGATGATGTGTCTTGGCCACTTGTTATCTACGTAACACTAATTTCGTCGCACCCCAAAATGTTACCCCTGATAAAATATGAATAACTTTTTCCTGCTTTGAACAATTTGAATTCGGATCACACTAAATACTAGCCCAGTCCTTCAGCTAAAATCTCGTACTTCTTCAAAACATGAGGTTGTTCTTATAAAATCGCTACAGGTTGTCACCTAAAACTGTGCAAAATTTCGGAATTTTCAAAAAGATCCCAAATGAACAAAAACATTTTGGGACATTTTTTAAAGTGCCTTCTTATCTCTTTCATTTACAGAGTGACCTCAGAAAATTATCTTTCTGGTTTTGCAGTCATAACTTTTTTCCTCGTCAGAATTGACTCAAGATGAACATTATATACAGTGTGTTTCACTTCTAATGGAAGCAACCCTGTATCTTTCGTAATGGGGGAGTGGACTGATAATGAATTATTGGCATTCAATTACTCCACTGTGTCGTTAGGAAGTTAAATTAATTTTTGCAACACTTCTCGTGCTTTTTTAAGCAAATAATGTGTCTATGCGTTGTTCGAAATATCGTTGGATTTCAAAGCTCATGCCATCGAACCGTCATGGCCGCCATTTAGCGATACGTCGAATAATTGTTATGTTGTTTAGTTATAGGTCAGATAATCTTCCATTTCCACTCATGAAGCAAGGTTGTCAAGTCACCAATTATAATCAAGTTATCAAAACCACAAGACCACGCCCACAATTCGCACGTTTAGTGATTCAAATGTCTTCTAGTGTGAATTAATATAACTATTATTTTCACAAATTCATTATAAGCAATAGCAAAGTGATACCTTCAAAAAGACAGACATTTTGAAAAATTCGATATTAATTTCTTAATTTTACCACCCTGTACCTCGGAAATGAAGCAATTTTGGCCTGAGGTAAGTTGCTCAAAATCGGTTTATTTTGACCTCAGGAATATGTGCTGAGATTTTGTACAGATCATTTAAGGGAAACCCATTTTGAACGAAAACTTAAATAAATTTGTGTAAGTAATCAAAAAATTATAAATTGATGATTATTACATTACTTCATTCATTCTCTTTGCGTCATTACACACTTTTGTTAGATTTAATTTTGCTCATACTCCTCAACTATAGAGTTTTGGACAAAAGTGTATGCTATATGCTCTTAAGCTATGGGCATCGAGTCACGGGAACCCTGTATAGTTACAACTATTTTGATTCTCTCAGTATATTTCGTTTTTTTTTTGTTTTACGTATTAAAAATTTCAAACCAATCAGTCAAGCCGTTTAGTAGTTGACGTACTGATAGCAGCGCCACCTACCGCGTCCAGTTGTATTTTTAAATCATCTAGGAAACCATCGAAATATCCACATAAAATTTCAACCCCATCGGTCCAGCCGTTTAAAAGTTATGTGAAAAAGATTAGTACGGAAGGATAATTCTTACTACCCGTTGTCCTATTACCCGTTTTCCCGTAGGAATGAACCACTTTCCCGTGGTGAAATGTTACCTATGTTCATCAGGGATAATGTCGGCTTCTAATGGTGAAAACATTGTTCAAATCGGTCCAGTAGTTTCAGAGCCTATTCAATACAAACAAACAAACAAATCTTTCATCTTTATAAAATTAGTATAGATACATAAAGGATAGTTCAAGTGGGGCTCGCGCTCGAAATTCGTTAGGCTCTAGCAGCCATGTTGTGAAAATCACATATGTCAAGTTTGTTGTGAATTATTCAGTAGTGTATGGCAGTTCACCAGGGAAGGTAGTTGAACAACTCGTGCGATTACGATCCGCAAATTACGTGATATTTATCCCCGCCACGAACAGTACATCATCGAAACGCATGTGGTTAGAACAAATCCGTGCTAAATGCCACACTGCGCATGCCACAATTGACATTCTGCACTAGTGATTTGAGATCATGGTTATATCGCGCGGCGGCAACGTGAAGCTGCTACGGAGATCGTGCATTCAACAGAACAAACACCATTCAGCAAAATCAGGAAGTTAACGACAAAGTTGACGAAAATTGGACCTCCAGGGCCATCCAACAAAGTTACGGGAAATATTTGAACAACGTTATATTCTATACTTATTACATTTAAAAATCAAGATTGTTTGTTGAACCTTTCATTTTTCCAAGGCTCGGTCCCGATATTGTTTTTGAGTCAGTTCCGAACAGTGAAAAATTATAACTGCACAAGAACCAATTATAAAATAGCTAGTTGAGAGAATGATGATAATAACTTTCGTGGATTAAAATTAATAGCGTTAAGTAGGTGAGTGAGTGAGAAATAGTATATAACAGATTCCTATTCGTGCGATTTGGGAAAATATGTTTTGTGAAAATTCATTTACTAGAAAATAAATGTGAAAAGCTCACAGTCATTTCCACCCAGTGTTCATAAAAAAAATGAACAACAATGGTAGATTTCGGGAGAAAAACAACTACTTCCCTGGCTAATGCCACGCAGGATATTGAATTACATCCTCCCGAAATCTATGCATCGACTCGTTTAAACGAATACTGATACAAGTGATTCTTTCCTGAATGCCTATTGATTTCGATTAAGCCAGGCCGCTAGACAACCACAGACCGGTTTCGAGCTCTTTGACTCTCATCAGTGCAGTGTAGTCTCCAGCCAGCAGTCCTAAGACCGCCGACTGAGCGAAGCCTAGCCAAACAATGAACACTGGGTGGAAATGACTGTGAGCTTTTCACATTTATTTACTATTTCATTCCACTGTGAGCATTGTGGCTATTTCATTTACTAGAATTGCTCATGATAGTATCAAACAAGACTAGCCACAAAAATTTATTTGACTCATATCAAGATTTTTTTAAATTATTTTTCGATCTCAATGAACAAATTAGTTGAATCCACTATTGTTCAATAATAATCTGACAACACTGGACACAGAAACTGTGAGGCATGGCTGTGCCATCCTTACAATCATTGACATACTCCATTTTACTAGCACAATTTCAAAATTGAGCAAATGGAATAATTTCATGATAAAGTCTATCCAGTCACTTAGAGCGTCACGATAAAAAAAAAACATACGCCGTGCGGTGTCATTTCGATTGAAGTTTATTTGAAGTTCGTGCACATGACGGACATTCCTTACCAGAGGTGCTCTACCTGACTTTGAATAGGATATACACCCACTTGTCCTTCTTTGTTTTATAGTTTTTGCAAAGTCAGTTGAACAGATCAATCAAACGAATGTCGGGCCGCGCTGCCGCACTCTTTGAACTTTCAAAGGGACCGACGGCTTGCGGTGATGTGTTTTTACAACTGACTTTGCATAAACTATACAAGCTATTTTTCTGAAATTTGAAACATTGAGTACAAAAACGATCGAGTACTTTTTGATATACTTGAGAAAAATATAACATCCGCTTTTTCCGGAAATGTTATCAACTTTCCTTTTTCTAATGGACTACCCTGTATATTATTATGTTTTTGAAACCTTCGTAATACCTTTAACATAGTTGATATTCCATTTGTCAGTTTTAATCTCCCTAAAATTATTTGAAATAATGGAAATTGTGCTACACTATTGCATTTTCGCTTAAAAAAGTGTTGGGGTCGAAATATCTGCCAAAAAAATTAAACAAAAAACATCTTTATTAGAAACTCCATTTTTTCAAATGGTATCATGATAATACTGTGACGACATTCTAAAGTACCATCGATGGGATATCCATCCATATCAACTATTCATGTGTAACCAATATGAACACAATGAAAAAAAAAAGAAATATCTTTTCGGTTCAATATCAATAATTTTTCAAGGTGGCTGTGAAACACATATCAATATCAAATGTTGACGTTTCGATATTCTGTAATTGTCAGTTAGTCACTAAAAAAATTATTGAATTGATCGCATTGATAATACAACTGAGTTATGTTACAGAGATCTGGTCAATATTTCATCCAACTGATAAAGCTCCTGAAGCTCGGAAACTCAAAAGCATAGTTTCAAATGTTGTTATACACAAAAAGAATTAATATGGATGGATACCCCATCGATGGGACTTTCGAATTACGTCACAGTATCATTATGGTACCATCTGAAAAAAATAGAGTTTTGATACGTATTTCGGGTCACAATACTTTTTCGATGGAAACTGCGATTTAATTATTTCAAATAAATTTAGGAAGTTTATTGATCAAAAAATAAAATGATTGTTCTGACAAATGAAATGTCAACTATAAGGTATCATTGAATTCAGAAAATTACGTAGATTTAAAATATTTATTAATATACAGGATGTCCCATCCGAAAATCGAAAGTTGATATGAGTTCCGGAAAAAGCAAAAGTTGTATTTTTTCCGAATATGACAAAAAGTGCCGTTTAGTAAGTATATTCATGTTTCAAATTTCAGAACAATTGCTAGAGGAACAAAGGAGGATAGACGGGTGTACCATAAGTCTGTGTCACATGGTATTTCACTGTATTGTTTGTTGTTGTTGTTAACTGATTTCTTCATATCTCTTGAATGGCACAAAAGGGATTGACTTTCCCCATTATGTTAGTATTATGCATTGCTCTTTAAGTAATCCTTGTTATGAAACTAATAGTTTGATGATAATACATAAAAATATTTACCTTATCGATTTATCTCTGAAGTCAATGATAGCCATACACCAATGCATGCCCAAATGGATAGGAACACACACCAAATCATGGCTAAAGAGATCCACCCTTTTGGTCCACCTCCTCAGAGATTGTGGGCCATCTTTAATCAATTTAGAGTAAAAGAATGTATTGAAAGCATAGGACTTTGGCCATTTGGAATCTTTCCCTCTCTCAATAATAAGATTCATATAGAAATTTATCACTTCATCATTAAGCCAATTCAGTCCAGCCAGAGTCAAGAGATCCCTTCTCGTTATGTTCAGATTGAATTTTCTTGCCAGAATCTCGTTAGGATCCCCTCGGAATGCTTTTTCGACCATCTTATGATGGGCATCTGTTAGTGGTGGTAGATCAACTTCCTCTTCTATTTCTTCAACTGGGAGCACGGCATCTTTCAGTAAAAGGGCTTTGTTGACCTTGTCTGTTAGAATGTCCATACGCATATCTTTGTTGATTTTGCTGTGTTTTTCTGAACATTTTCTATAAAGATCTATTTCCGTTTGTCTCTGTTGTACTGCAATTCTGTGTTTTTGCACCCTTGAATATAAAAAATACATAACATATATTCAGATATCATCTGACGAATATTACCACCAAAAATTAGAATAATGATTGTACATTTTGAGGATGAAATTGCCCATAATTATTATTGAATTCCAAAGAAGATGAATGAATGAATGAAAATAAAATGGAATTTTTCAAAAAATCATCTTTGACAAAATACACTGTCAGAAGAGGTAACCTATAAATCTTCGAAAAGCTGATATTTGATTTGGTTACACAACATTATGTAATGCATGTTTCTATGGAATTGATAAAACTCTATGTATACCATGAGTTGAGTTCATGTTGTTGAGACAAATTATTGTAAAAATGTTGCAATTTGAATAAATTCATTTCATTGAAGTTTATTTCCTATGAAATCGATTACTGAATCTTCCACAATGTTCCTGTTCCCTCAGTTTCCAAGATACATTGAACCTTTTTCAATTTGGACACTATACAGACTATTACAATAACTGACACAATTTCTTCGACTCTTGTTTGTCTTCAATGTTAGCGAAGTCTCTCATCAGTGGGGAAGCATAGGTTCTATTTTACTAACATGAGGGATCTGATTTAATTACTAATAAATAAGTACCTAGTTATCCATTACTGATAGGTAACTATTAGAAATGCTTGAAATGAAGTACAAGACATAATAATCAAGATCGGCTGAGATTGTCCTGGATCTTCTTATTGGATCTTCTGATTAAAAAAAATCTACTTTCGTGGAGAATGATTGAGGTTTAAAAATTTTCAAATAATTCAAAAATAATTTTTCATGGAAAATGTAATGATTTGGTACAGTGTTCCCGAATGAGTGAGTCTTCTCATGAAAATATGAAAAATTAATTTTCAGAGATTCACAACCGCTTATTTGATTTAGTTACTAGCTACCAATGTAATATTCAGAATGTTGTATGAGGAAGTACTTGAATGAACCTGCCGTATGCTACACAGCCCATACGAAAAAAATGCTCATCACACAAGAACATACCTGCATGCAATATCGTATCTACGAGAGATGAGAGTTGACTGTATCAATGAATTTTCCTTTTTTTAAGTTCCATTTACCTAGCGTATATCATAAATATACAGGATGATGCGTACCAGGTGAAAATTGAATAGACGATTTTTCGAATGGTTCACCCTGTTTACTCTTCCATATTCGGATAGTAATTTTCATTACGAATTCTCAAAGATAGCGAAGATATGGACGAAAAATTCATCAATTAGTGACTGCGAGGTGAAATAAAAGACACAATTTAAGAATGGAAGAGTTTTTCTCCTAAATCTCTTTAATGGTTTGACGTATCGCTATCAAACCTGACATTGTTGAATTCTTGAATAATATTCTAGAAGTGGTTCGGAATCCACTATAAGCTGTAGGTCCCGCTCTTCCTGACCCCGCACAAGTATCGACTTCTGGAGAGTTGGTTCCCAACGGTTCCCAACTTCGAAGGAAGTAGCAATATACAAATTACAATTACAAAAAAATTACTATTTTAAAAATAGCCGATTCAATGTTTCATTCAAGTAATTAATCAACAAGTATATTTCTGACATAGATTAGAGAATGGGTAACAAAAAACTATCAAAGGGTTTTGTGCAATGTATCTAATTCATTGATACAATCTACTCTTGCCTCTCGTGGATACGATATTGCGTGTAGGTATGGTTTGGTTTGTTAAGCATTTTTATCGTATGTGCCATGTGACATTTCAAGTATATACAGGGTGTTCCTAAATGTCAAGAACTCATTGAATGAGGTGATTCTTGATTCGTTTTCAAGTTGATGAAACAAGTTTTTACTATTAGGCAACCGCTGAACAAAACTCGACCTGAGGGCAAATGAAATAGTGATAACATTTGGCCAAACGATTCTTCAGTGGCGCCGTTACGTGGATATTTTTTTTACTAGAAAGAGAACAACGAAGAGAGATTTTAAATTTACAAAACTATCCAAGAACATTGTACAAAAAAGGCCCTCCTGTTGACAGTGGGGTGCAATACTACTCATGTTAGGGTAGGCAAAAATTTAAAAATGTGAAATGCAGAAAACAAAGATGGAGATGATCCGACATTGAGCCGTTCCGTTTCCGTAGTAAATCCTGACATGTTGCCTATTCACAAAACTTGATTGGGAATGTTTCCAATGATTGTCACATTATCACATGTCGTCAATAAATCTATTGTAAAGGATTTACTCGAATTTTTTATATATTATAGAACTCGTGGTGCTGATCAAATGTCTGCATTGCACTAACGCTCTAAAATCAACAGTTAAGATTATATCGGGTGATAAAGTTGACATTTCCAAAATTTTAGATGGAAATTGGGAAGACTTCTTTCATAATTTTAAAACCAAATCAACTCTGCATTTATTGTTCGAATGACCGATAAGAATCTACTATGAAGTATAATCATTCCTGCACGTACTAACAATATACAGGGTGGGTCGGAACATAGCGAATAATTCAGTGGTTTTCGGAAAAGTTGGTAGTGGAATTTCATTTGAATTAAATATCATCTCCAATTCGTGATATTAGCATCTCCTAATCAGACATATTATATACAAGAAGTTTTATTTTTGATAAACTCACATCCATGTTAGGAACTTATTATTGGCATCCTTATTATGACTCACAACTTGATCAACCTATTGGAAAACTCGTTCATTTCATGATGAATGTCCACTCTGCAAATACGTGGAATGTGGAATATACGGAGTGGATGGAAAATCAATGGTCTTTGCTGATAACTTCTCAAGAATAGTATGTACAGATTCTTGTGATCCATTTTATTGAAATTAATCATTGATAATAAACAGCTAGTTTACTACTTTTATTTTTGTTTCAGGGTTGAGGTATTCTCGAATTGAGTATGACGAGTTGTATTCTGGAAACTGTTCAAGAAGTTGAATAAATTCAACTACTTCATTTCGAGAAACGAATTCGTTTTATGAAATAGTGATCGAGGAAATATAATTGCTTGTCATAACACGAAAGTAATACACTATGTAAGGTACAGAACTTCTGTTGTGATTGAATATCAGAATATTTTGTTATCCATAATAATTGTATATTCATTGTTCTTGTTTCCTATTGTTGATTGTTTCACTATCATCTGAAAAACCTATTATGATACCTGCAGTACGTTCTTACATATCATTCAAAATATACTACATCGAATGGTTCATTATGAAACAGGGTCAATAAAATATCACAAGAATCTATACATACTATTCTTGAGAAGTTATTAGCAAAGACCATTGATTTTTCACCCACTCTGTATATTTCACGTATCTGCAGAGTGGACATTCATCATGGAATTAACGAGTTTCTCAATAGGTTGTTCAAGTTGTAAGTCATAATAAGGATGCCAATAATAAATACCTAACATGGATGTGACTTTATCAACAATAAAAAATCTTGTATATAAGAGGTCTGATAAGGATATGCAAATATCACGAATTGGAGATGATATTTGTATACTACAGAATTTAAATAAAATTCCACCGCCCACTTTTCCGAAAACCACTGATTTTAGAGTGTTGAAGCAATGGAGACATTTGATCAGCACCACGAGTTCTACAATATATTAAAAATTGGAGTAAATTCTAAATTCACCGAAAGCCAATTTCCCATTGATGTGGTGCGGGGTCCACAGAAGGTCGCCACAATTTCCGCCAGTCGCTAAATTCAATTCAAAGTCGCATTTCACAAAAAAAAGTTGCCGTAAATGCGATAAATCGCCACATCTAGCAACATTGACTGTTCCTGGCCGTCTTCCGTATGCTCTCTTATTATTTAAAGGGAGGAAGGACATTGCGCAAACATGGACTTCTACCAGAGATTCTCTTATTATTGTTCGTAATCGCTCGGGTCCCCGGCCGGAGGAAATCGGCCCCGGTCTGCGTCGCCACGGCTCGAGTGTCGATGGTTTGCAGGTCGATAGCAATGCTTTTTCGCTCCATATGAATTTCTACTGATCAGCGCAATTGCTTTACTTTCATTTTAAATGGGATTCTGAATTTGCTTACACAGAGTAGAGCGCCAACAGCGACGTCGCAACGGGTGGTTTATATTAGTTTTTACGGATTGTAATGTATTATTATGAGTTGTGAGAGTACTCAGGCATATAGTGAATCCATTTTCATAAATATATATATATCCGCAAAAAAATTGTGTAAAAAACAGTGTGTCGATTATTTGAATTTTTCTAGGGTGGGCAATGCTTTTATGCTTCTAATGTGTGAACGCCACAGCCTGTTGAAACTCGATAGGGTTTTCGAAACGAAAAAACGAGACTAGACTCTAAATTTTGATATAAATGCTAGGTACTCCATTCAGGAAGATTACTGGATATGTGTGAAATTTTGAAATTTCTGTACTATTTTAGTCACATAACAGACTAAATTGGACAGTATCTTGAAAACGAAGCAATTCCAAACATATGTTTATGCTAACTTTGGGTCCTAAAATGAGCCATAAAATTCAATCAAATATGTACCTGACTTTTAGAAACACCCTGCATCAAGGCATTAATAGAAATATTGGAATGATTAAAAAACTAGGGCTAAAATATGGCAGCAACCTCCATTGAGCGGAAGATGGTTTTATAAAAAGTATGTAAAGAGATGTCCAGATTCTTTTTCAATTATTGCAATTGCACTGGAACCAACGCCCCATGTCGAAACTTGTGCGGGGTTAGGAATGCATACGTGCACAAACATCCATCAAACATCCATGGCCTAACTGGGGCTCGAATCCATGTCTTGGTGGCAGTTCCCATACGAACTCACCGCCTTTGCGCTCTCGACCACCGGACCGCCAATATGGATGGTCAATATCTTTGAAATAGGTATACAGGGTGAGTCAGATTGAGACCGACAAACTTCGTATGGGTCGCGTGCAAGATTTGCCAGAAGACCGACCGTGGAGCTCAAATAACACAAAATAACCTCACTATTCGTACTTGCTTTCGAGCGATTGGAAATAGTTTTTCACTATTATTTGTGATTCTTGGAATAATTATTTATGAAAGCATTCCATCACATTGTGCTGTTGTACAAAGCACAAAAAATGCAACGAGAGACGAAGGAATAAAGATTTTTTAGGTTAATTGTGATCTGTAAGTACTGTAGTCACTCACATAGTTTTCATTTTGAAATTTTGTCACAACCTAGTACAATTGCCTTCTGCAATAGGAGCTAATAGAGTGAAAATGTCTAAAACATACCCGACCATAGTAATTCTGTCATTTCTCTTTATAATTACTTAAATGTCTGCAACACACACGACCATATTTTTCGTCAGTATTTCAGACCAGTCCTCCCATTTGATTGCACAAATCCAACCTTTTTCTTTTTTTTAGAACGTTTACAAGTCGTTTTATTAGCTCCTATTGCAAAAGGAATTCTAATTGTGAGTATAACTAGGTACAGTGCTTATAGATTTACCTGAAAAATATTTATTCCTTCGTCTCTCGCTGTATTTTTTGTGCATTGTACAACAGTACAATGTGATGGCATGCTTGAATAAATATCCCAAGAAATACGATTCTATGCCAAAATAATTGTGAAAAACTATTCCAACAAATAAAAAGTGAAGTTAGTGAGTTTGTTTTGCCTCCAGGGTCGGTCATCTGACATTTTGTGCACGCGACCTATACGGATTCCTAACCTCATTTTGAGGTCAAATGTTCCCATCAACGTATGTCCGACAATGCATCCTCTCTGAGATACAGGGCGTCAAAAATACGAAAAAAAAAAGTTTTATATTAATTTCTTCGGAACCCCTGTAGGAAAAAAATGTAAACTTGATATACTATTCCAGAATAATCAACGTAATTACTTTCAGCATTGAATTTTATTAACCAGTGGCGTAGTTACGGTCGTATGTCGCCACTTTTTCTTTCATATTTTTTCATAGATAGATGAAATGTCAAATTGGTTTATGACATCAGTTAGGCTCATCGATATCTAACCTAAAAGTAAATCATTCCACATGCGTAAATGTAGAGGTTCCTGAGATATTTGCGAAAAACTAATGATATGCCTTGCGGTTATTGAGTAGAGACCCAACTTGCTGCGTGCTATCACCGCAAAACACTGATCTTGCACGAGGTATCAAAAAATGTCTCAGCCTCCTGAATATTTTTGAACGTTGAGAACATTGGAAACATAGTAAGGGTGAGTCTGCATTAGATCGACAAACTTATTTTTTATTCCATACATTATTTCAAGGTGAACAGTTTATATCAAGCTAAGTCTTTAAGTGCAACCTGTTTGAGATACTAGTTGTTGAATATATGAAAAAATTTGAGCATTACAATATTTTATCTCGAACACCTTGAGACATATCTTTAGTTTTTTGCAAATATCTCAGGAACCTCTACATTTAGGCACATGGAATAATATGACTTTTATGTGGAGTATCAATGAGCCTAATTGATGCCATGCACCAAAGTGAAAGCTACATTCGATAAATAAATAAATAACTAAATAACTATTGAATTCAGGAGTAAAGTGTACTAGATTGAACTGTTAAGAATTATGAGATTGCGAAAATAAAATGTGTTTCATTTAAAAAATAATTCAAGATGGCGCTTAGCAGCCATTTTAAAACTTCAAGCTGTCGCCTTTTTTATGAAAAAGAAGGTTTTCATCTCCCATTTGAGCCCTTCAAATTTCGTAGCGATACACCAGGATGTTCAAAAATTAGTAAGGAGGAACGGATTTAAGAGAGGCACAGTATCTCAAAGCAGTTAGAACAAATTGCTGAAAACTGATATTCATAATCCTCGTTCAACGACGTATATGTCGCTAGTAATCAATATTCGGAAATGATTTTATAGTCAAGAGATAATTTATTTTTGGGTTTTTGGTCGGATACATTTTTGGACCACTGAGAATAAATACTTAAATCAAAAAGTTCCTACCTATGTGTCCTAAGTTTCTTTGCCAACTTATGGCCGGAAAAAATAAATGATGTTCTGTTATGCTTTTTTCCATTTGGAAATGATCTGAAAATAATTAGACGTCCAAGTTTATAAATGAATTAGTAATCAGTAATACATTATATGGATTGTTATGGGATTACTCATCAAAAGTAGTCAGCAGACTGAGGTCCTATTTATTTACTTTTCAGGTATACTATGAGGATAATGAAGATGATGAAAAGCCCAAATTTCGAGTGACAACGGAAAATGAGAAAAACTCCAGAGTTGGGCATGTAACCCAGAGGTTGTGAGTTCTAATCTCACGCGGGGCGGTGTTTTTTTTATTTATTTGTATTATTTTAGAGCATTCCATCATCTTCATTATTGAATGTATCTTTTCGGTCGAGTGACCGACAAACATTATGACTCACTCCTATGTACAGGCTGTCCCATTTTCGATGTCCTTATGGGATATCTCACTTGTTTTCAGAGATAGAGATTTGCGGTTTTCACGAACGTTGGCTACATTTTTACATTAGTAAAAGAAAAATCTGAAGAATCTCACATGCAGTAATTAATTTGCACCTTTGAAGTGACCATCTGATGTTAGGTTTAGATATTTGATATTTTCATTACTCTCTCATCTAAATAATCTAAGACTTACAAGTCCCAAAAGACGGATTCTGATAATTAATATCCAAGGTATCAACTTATTGCTGGATGTTTTGTGTCCAAAGAGCAAGAAACAGTGACAAAGCATTGACAAAGTGAAATAGAATGCATAGAACCAAATGAATAAAGACAGGCGGATGCACCCCCATATTAGAGGTATGACCAATCAAAAAGTGCATCACTTTTGTCCCCACTGTTGTATAGAGTCACTCTAGATTTTCCTTATCTCTCATTGCAATGGAGCTTTTCCACACCTGAGCACCCTGTATATTACTTATAAAAAGACATGATTCCATTCAAAACATTCAAAAACCTTCAGCAGCAAACTCCTAACTTCTGATGTCTTTCAAGTGTCCACTGGCAGCCATTATTGAAAATGGCCACCAAGGCCACATCCAAATTTGTTCATATTTGTTCATATTATATTGACATAACTCTGTGCTAAGTTTGGTGCCTTTATCAAGAAGTGCACAATACATTGGAATAATGTAGCTTAACTACTGCACTATATGGGAAAACATTATTGACAAAGGTGTCAAAAGTGCCATTGTAGTGTTAGTAGAGTGCAAAATTGGGAAAATGATATCTTTCAAACACTACAAAATTTTCCAATAACCCAAGAACTAGGATATTTTCTTGGGGTATGTTTGGTTCAATATAACCCAAATAAGTGTTATCTTCTCCAAAAGACATAGCATCAACCTTTGGGGTTGACATTTTTCTAATTTAAACAATCTCATATCATATTTACCATTTGCTATTAGATGCCAAAAGCATTAGACATAAAAAATATGGCTTGCATAAAAAACCTTCACTTACTCAACAGCTTACTATTACTAGACATACTTACAGATCAGTTAACCACCCAGGATCTGTCTGCTGTGAAGTATCAACAATCTTCTTCAAGCTGTTAACAGGTTCAACTTCAAAATCTGGTTTTGGAGTAGGAGGATTAACAAGAATCACATCTGAATCCGAATCTGAATCTTTTAGAACAACTGTATCACCCTCAAATTTATGTAGAACTTTTTTAATGGCATCCCTAGTCAATAATCGTTCCTTGTTTGTATCATCATTAACTGGTGACTTTTTTGTCATATTTAGTATTCTACCAGCTCTACTGGATGTATCAAAAGTATCAAAGTATTTTCCCAAAGGGGTGGAATAAACTGATCTATCAAGTGGGCTGGATCCAGCAGCAGAATCAATCAATCTTTGATAATTCATTTTATCATCTAATCTTATAGAGTAATTCAAGCTACTTCTGGAGGTATTATTTTTTTCAGGAAAGCTACCATTTGTAGTAGGCTTTTCTTTAGGTCTCCCATAATTCTGAAGGGACTTGAATTTGAATGAATTTCCACAAAATGGTTTATAACCTGAACCAAGCTTAGGTGATTCTACTTTTTTTGAATTTAAATTCTTCATCTCTCTTACAAAAACTATATCATCACTGTTGGAGGTTCCATTAACAGATGATTTATGTGTATTGTTTTCTGGGGTAGAAGTGAATTTAGTGTAAATGGGACGACTTTGATTACAAGTCAGTACTGGCCTAATTTCTATTAAATCATCATCTTCATCATCTAAGATTACTGTATCTATGTGTCCACTACCTAATCGACTAGGAGGAGTTTTGAAGGAGGGGGATCTCTTGGATGGTCTAGGGTTCAAGAAGAAACGCTCATCTAAAAAAAATCAACAATTTGTGAGTGTCTTACAACTGAAACTATCCTTACCATCCAAATCTATAAAGTCTTTAGACATGTCAGAAAATCTTCTGAATTTTGGACTTATTAGAGTTTCCAGTGGATCTAGAGCCCTAAAAAGTTCCAAAATTATTAGTACATCAAATATCAGAACCAATACTACATTACCTTCTTTTACGATTTCTTTCTGGAAGTACAGGTGCAAGAAGATTTCTTACATATTCCACTGCAGCTCTAATGTTGTCCATTTTGTTTTGTTGGTTAATTCAAGCCGGATAAACATTAGTTTGATATGATTTCACAAAAGTAACAACATTATTTAATCACAACCGAAATGTTCAAATTGATATTAAAACCACCATATTATTATTTCCTGAATTTGTAATTTTACCATCAGCTCTTACTTTTTCTGCCTTTCTATTCTATGCTTTTCCTGGCTTTTTCTTTCCCTTTCCCTTTCCCTTCAATCCTTCTACTCCTCAGTCCTCACTCCTCAGTCCACAGTTCTCACTTCTCAGTAGTCAGCTGTCAACTTCTCACTTCCTCAGGTTTGTTCTTCTCTTCGCGACTTCGCGTGATACTGCGCATTTTCGGTTTCGGCAATGACGGCTAAATATCTAGACTGTCGGACGGGTTTCGGACTGTTTATAATCGTCGTTGGCCAAAGTATCGTCGTAAAAGTCGTGACGAGCGGCGTTCACAACACACTAAAAAATTTTTTTATGTGTAGGGTTGAATATGAATTATTTTTTTTCGATAGGGGTTGGGGGGTTTTTTCGATAGGCAAATCGTTCCTCAGGTCTGTTTAAATGATTCCTACACCATATGGCATCGCAGCGGTTTTTCATTTACACACAAAAAAATTTTTGTATGTGTAGGGTTGAATATGATATATTTTTTCTCGATAGGGGTTGCGGGAATTTTTTCGATAGGCAAATCGTATCTCAGGTCTGTTAGAATGATTCCTACCCTATGTCATCGCAGCAGTTTTTCATTTACACACAAAATTTTTTTTTTATGTGTAGGGTTGAATGATTTTTTTTTTCTGTGACGGGAAAAAAGTTTGGCATTTCATCTCTGTTGGCAGGTTATAAAATGTCACTTTTCATAAATTACTTTTTTCCCGTGGGAAAAAAGTGAGTACTTCTTTCCCGGATATATATCACATATATATACTCTGTTAATGGCTTTTGTTGTGCTATAGTTCCGAGAAATGAGTCAATAATACCGTCTCCGAGAAAGAACTGCAAGTCCTTTTATCTTCCATTCGACTTCGCGGTTTCGTATATTACTGAACAACTACTGAATACGCAATTTTTTGGAATCAAATCGCAGAATTGAACTGACAGAAGTGACATAAGATATTTGATTACTTCAAAAGAATGATGAAGATGTCTATAAAACGCAGGTGTCCCTACTGTTAAAAACTTGAAATTTCACGTCGATAATTTTCAGATTTCGAAATAATGTAATATCTTCCCAATATTGATTCGTCCTTCCTTCTGTCACAGAAAAAAATTGTGTATTATACACGGGAAAAATATTAGATTTTAGCTCACGGTTTTTTGTCTCCCTCCGCTACGCGTCGGGAGACAACACAACCTGGAGCTAAAATCTACTACTTTTTTCCCTTGTATAATAAATAACTATTTTCGATAGGGGTTGCGGGGATTTTTTCGATAGGCAAATCGTTCCTTTGGTCAGTTTGAATGATTCCTGCCATATGTCATCGCAGCAGTTTTTCATTTACACACTAAAAAAAATTTTAATCTGTAGGGTTGAATATGATATATTTTTTTCGATAGGGGTTGCGGGGATTTTTTTGATAGGCAAATCGTTCCTTAGGTCTGTTCGGTTGATTCCTACCATATGTCATCGCGGCAGTTTTTCATTCACACACTAAACAAATTTTTTATCTGTAGGGTTGAATATGATATATTTTTTTTCGATAGGGGTTGCGGGGATTTTTTCGATAGGCAGATCGTTCCTTAGGTCTGTTCGAATGATTTCTACCCTATGTCATCGCAGCAGTTTTTCATTTACACACTAAAAAATAGTTATTTATTATACAAGGGAAAAAAGTAGTAGATTTTAGCTCCAGGTTGTGTTGTCTCCCGACGCGTAGCGGAGGGAGACAAAAAACCGTGAGCTAAAATCTAATATTTTTCCCGTGTGTAATACACTATTTTTTTCTGTGACAGAAGGAAGGACGAATCAATATTGAGAAGATATTACATTATTTCGAAATCTGAAAATTATCGACGTGAAATTTCAAGTTTTTAACAGTAGGGACACCTGCGTTTTATAGGCATCTTTATCATTCTTTTGAAGTAATCAAATATCTGATGTCACTTCTGACAGTTCAATTTTGTGATTTGATTTCAAAAAATTGAGAATTCAGTAGTTGTTTAGGAATATACGAAACCGCGAAGTGGAATGGAAGATAAAAGGACTTGCAGTTCTTTCTCGGAGACGGTATTATTGACTCATTATTCGGAACTATAGCACAACAAAAGCCATTAACAGAGTATATATATGTGATATATATCCGGGAAAAAAGTACTCACTTTTTTCCCACGGGAAAAAAGTAATTTATGAAAAGTGACATTTTGTAACCTGTGAACAGAGATGAAATAACTTTTTTCCTGTCACAGAAAAAACATTTTTCATGTAGGGGTTGAATATGATATATATTTTTTTGTAGGGGTTGCGGGGATTTTTTCGATAGGCATATCGTTCCTTAGGTCTGTTTGAATGATTTCTATACCCTATGCCATCGCAGCAGTTTTTAATTTACACCCTCAAAATAATTTTTTTGTGTGTTGGGTTAGATTTATTCATATAGGTATTATTCTGGATAGTTGTTGCAGGGATTGTTTCTATGGTCAAATCTTCAATTACTTCATTGGGTATGTTAATTTTGTCCAGCAGTTCATACCCTCAAAATATTGTTTTGTATTTGAAGGCATGGAAAAATAAACATGTTGTCCGCCACTGGGTCTTCGGCAATGTTCGGAGATTTTTGCTGCTATCTTTGGCTGCCATCTTCACACAGCTCCGCCGCGGCGCAGCCGCGCAGGCGGTTGTGTTGTAGACGGAGCATAAACTTGAATGAATATTCAATGAATTGAATGGAAGTTACGATTTTTTTTTTGTAATTTTGTATTTAATTGAAAATTTCAGCAAGTAGTTTGAAAAAAGTTAGATATGAGCAATTGTAAAATGCCGCTACCAGTTGATGACTGTGATGGTGATCAACGATGGCTCAGCATAGTATGTTTTTGCATTGTCAATATGATACACAATCTACACTTTATTTTTTTAGCATAATCGATTCCTTTCTGAAACTAGAGAAAAGGATGCCGACGTCATATTTATTGGAGATTCTATAGTACAAGCTCTTCAGCATACAGATGTCTGGAATGATTTATTTGCACCATTACATTGCCTCAACTTTGGTATACACAGGGATAAATTAGAAAATGTTTTATGGCGAATCGAAAATGGTGAGCTGGACCATGTTAAACCTAAGGTGAGATTGTTAGAAATTATAAAATATCAAATGGCTTACAAAGTACACACATTCATGCTGGATTTTAAAAGAAATGGGTGGTGAGATTGGTTGATTTAAGAAAGTGTATTTTATGTGTATAGGCTGCTGACCATTCAGTGGAATACATTATTTCTTTTTAAAATCGGTCTGCATCCTGAAAAGTAGTATAGCATGCCAACTGGTCCTAAGTCTATACTTTTTTTTTGGATGCTGACCAGTTGGCACTGCATACTTTTTCACTAAACTGCCGACCATTCAGTGGAATCCATTCTTTCTGTTTAACAAATAGATTCAAGAAGGTTAGTAGCTTATAAGGTCTGTGCTGAACTTGCTAAATTTGATTTTGTTCCCATAGTTGTCTTCATTCATGGCATGACGTAAACAGAGAAAGTCATGGAAAAGAATAATCAATTTTAGCAGGTAGAGCAAACACAAATGAACAGGCCTTTAGTGGTTAGACATTGGCTAGTCAATCCTGTGGTCCTGTGTTCAAATCACATATGGAATATTCTTTTTTTAAATATTTTTTTCAATCAATTTTTTTATCAGATTTTTGTTTCACTAATCTATTAGTCTGATTGGGTTGAGTATTATACATCACTTTCTTTTTATATTTTAATGTTTTCTAATCTAGTTTATCCTTCCTCCATTGTTAGTTCACAAGATATTTTTGATCAGGTTTTTCTTCCACCAATAGGTTGGTGTGTTTGTGTATGTCTCATTTTTTTAGATTTTTTTTTCAAATCATTTTTTTTTCCTCCTTAAAATTTAACAATCATAGGAACTTACCATGAAGTTTGATCAAAATTATATGAGGCACCTCCTCTGAAGAGATCACTTGTTTTCACTAGGTCATACCACTCTCAGGTATGGTTGATCAAATGCCACAATGTATGAGTAAGAATAAGATTTTTTATCATACAGCACTCTTCCTTACCTACTGGACCATGAACGCCTTTACCATTTCAAAGTATTTCCATTTGGCACAATATTTTTAAAACTCTGAATTGGGCGAGAGGGAGTCTTCTCTTCAGACAAAGTGCCTTTTATTATTTTTGTTGGAACTTCATGGCAAGTTCGTTTGATAGTTGAATTATATTTCAGCACCTCTCCAGATCACTTGTTTTAGCTAGGTAGATATTCAAAGTAGTGTGAAAATATTGTGTAAGTTGGATTCGGATCAAAATAAACCAGCACAACTTTATTTAAAATCAAAAATTGACAGCTTGATCATATCATATTTTAAGTCTCATCAAAGACTGCCTTAGTAAATGCCCCAGGATTTTTGTTTAGTGGGCAATTGTAATACTTGGCAAACACGGATGATTCCTTAGACCATCCCTCTGCTCTTCTGATTATATCCCATGATATGCTGAGTTGTGCTGCTTTAGATGTGGCTGCGTGATGGCTACTACCATCTCATGTTTTATCCATCTAGATATGGAATCTTTTGTAGCTAGCTCAAAAGGCTCCCTCGTTGATAAAAACAAAAAAGGCCCTGTCTCTAGTCTTTTACTGGCCGATCTATTGATGTAGGTCAATAGAGTTGAGGTCACACATACTGAACTACCCTCAAAAAAAGGTAACTCTATGTTCATTGAAAACCCTTCAAACTAGTAGTCTAGTAGTCTTATTTCTATCCGGGATATATATATATGCTCCTTCTTTCTGAAAGGTTATGTTTTCCACCATTATGACATGTAGGGTTTGTATTCTCTGGCCTGTTGCTATAGCTAATAGATCTGCCAATTTTCTTGACATTTCTAAAAAGGATAAACTCTATATACTGTCTGTAGGTTAATCAAGTAGGTGTAACATTCATTTCACTTGATTATTTGGGATTTTCTCTCCTCCTTTCTACAACATAAAAATATGAGTATTATTTCAATATATTATATGTGTCATTGCATTCAACAAATTTCTCTATCAGGAAGTCAAAAAGAAAAATTCAATAGCTTGTCAGTGACACTCTTTTTGGAAAAAAGTTTGAGGAGAAGAAATATAGATATATTGAAAAAATATTGAATTTTCACTTAGCTTTGAACGTTTCGAGATAGAATCTGCTCCCTTTCTCAACATAAAAATGCAAAATATTTTTCTTCGAAAATTCTGTTCTAGTTTGACACTTCTCAGTGTCATACTGATGTTGGCATATGGATGAGTGATGATGTTAGTATACAAATGAGTTACAGGATGTTTTCATTAATTGATCTTGAATCTACCATTTTCATGTTCAGTTTTCAGTAGTGAATACCATGTTCAATCAATATCAACTGAACAGGTAGCAATGCTATTGTCTCCGTTCAGAAGAATGCAACTGGATTCCTCAATTCTTCTCTTTTGGTTGTTATATTCCTTTCCTATGGCGGAGTGGAATAATATTACTGAAAATCCTTACTGAAAATGGACAACATATGACAGAACTTTTTTCCCATTTAACCGAATTAGTATTTCCTACCATTTCCGAGATTCACATGCTGTGCAACTCCATCTTGGTCATACTGAATTCAGGCTCGTTTGACATACTCCATTACGTATATCACTCCAAAATCGGAAGCTGTCATTTTTGGTACCGCATTTATGTCGGCCTCAAGTATCATTTTGGTATCATTAGGGGGATTCCCGATCCTCGCATTTCTCATTGTATATCAACATGAATGAACATGGAACAATCACCAGTGTAGATTGCATAAGAATGTCAATTTTGTAGGTATATGAGAGGAAATACGAGAAATGTGGAATACTCCTATCGAAAATTCGTTACTTGGCGAACCATGCATTGGTCCACTCCTATAAATGAGAGGTACGTTTTGCCATGTAGGTATGATTTGCCTGTTTATTCATGTTACTGCTCCCCGGAAATGTCGATGAATTCACTGTGTGAATTCTATAGAATTATTGGCATTCATCAACTGCACCGGCACCCCCACGTCTTATATGGCATTACAATTCAGGAGATTGGGACGGTCTCTGCATGTTTTTCTCCGAGTTTCCTTGGCATAGAGTATGCTTTGACTCTAAGGACCCTTCACAGTGTGCTGCGGAAATATCCGAGATCATCATCCTCGGAATGGACACATACATACCTCATTTTTCGAAAAGATCATCACCATCAGAAACCCTGGTTCAACAAAAACTGTTCTAGAACTGTTGCCTTGAAACAAAAAGCCTACCATCGCTGGCGCAAAAACCCTAACCTCGCGACTAGAGCAGAATTCAGAATACGTTGATGCCAGGAATAACTGCTGCCAAACAATAGATGCTTCGAAAGAAACATACAATGCCAAGATAAGATCCAAACTCATAGATTGCCCCAATGGCTCCCGTTCGTTTTGGTCCCTTGCTAAAGCGGTCGGAAGAAATTTCACTAATAGTTCATTTCCACCACTGTCCAAATCCGACGGCACATTAGCAACAACATCGCAGGAGAGGGCAAATATTTTTGCAGAGATCTTCGCAGCAAACTCTACTTTAGATTCCCAAGGAAAACTGCCGCCAGACATTCCACCCGTTGAGAGTCGAATGCCCGAAATCGTCTTCCGTCAACGCACTATCAGACGAATTTTGCTTGGTCTTATAACGAATAAGGCTAACGGTCCTGATGGAATTCCATCCATTATCCTCAAAAAATGTGCACCAGAATTAACACCGATTCTCTGCAAGTTGTTTACCATCTCGTACAGGTCGGGTATTTTTCCATCATGCTGGAAGACAGCTAGAGTCCAACCAATCCCCAATAAAAAGGGAACAAGAACCTGCCCAACAACTACAGGCCCATTGCCCTGTTATCAGTAATCTCCAAAGTGATGGAGAAAGCCATCAATATTGAGCTTATCAAATATCTGGAGAGCTCAGGAATCATCAATGATAGACAATACGGCTTTCGCCACCGAAGATCTACTGGAGATCTACTTGCCTACGTCACCCATTTATGGCAATCTTCAATAGAAAAACACGGGGAATCTCTAGCTGTCGCGTTGGACATATCGAAAGCATTCGACCGTGTTTGGCATGAAGGACTCCTCCACAAACTACCATCATACGGCTTACCACCTCAGCTATGCCATCTCTTATCGAGTTTTCTTTCAGGCAGATCGCTTCATGTGGTGGTGGACGGTGTATCGTCTGATACCATTGGCATCAATTCCGGCGTTCCACAAGGATCAATTTTGGCACCAACATTATTCCTGCTTCATATCAATGATCTGTTGGGAGTAACAACTTGCCCCATCCACAGCTTTGCAGATGATAGTACCCTCCATACTGCGTTCTCTTCCAGAATTCCCATTTCTTCCCAGGAAACTAAGAACTCACGGCGCAGGCAGGTCAATGCTGTCAATGAAGATCTTGCTGAAATCACAGCCTGAGGAACAAACCTTGTTGAATTCAACGCCACCAAAACTCAAGCCTGCATTTTTCTAGAAAGGCGGAACTCAGTATGCCCGATATTGTAATGTCTAGCTCCACCATCCCCACCAAGCCCACCATATCTATGCTCGGTATTTCCATCAGCATCACTCTTTCATTGGATAATCATGTCAGATCCATCGCAAAAGCTGCTTCACAAAAATGTCTTGTTCCGTGCAAAGAGCTACTTTACACCTCAACAGCTTCTCATGATCTACAAAGCGCAGATACGGCCTGTTCTAGAATACTGTTCCCACATATGGGGTTCAGCACCAAAACATACGCTGATGCTCTTAGATTCCATCCAGAGAAGAGCCATTCGTCTGATGGGTGACGCCACACTCACTCACTCTTTGACATCATTGGAACACCGTAGAAAGGTCGGCGACCTTTCACTTTTCTATCGATACTTCCACGGGAAATGTTCTTCGGAAATCTCTATCATCCCTTCACTAGCAATACCAATCAGACGAACTAGACAAGCCCAGTCAGCACATCCTTTCATTGTCAACCTCGAAAGATGTCGAACAGCACTTTATCAAGACTCCTTCATCCATAGAACGGCTAGGCTCTGGAATTCATTGCCTGTGGAAGTATTCCCAACAACATATAATCTCCAAAAGTTCAAAAAAAATTCCAATACCTACCTCCTGTCCCTATCCTCCCTAGGAACGCACGATGTTCTTTGAACATTATAGGGATTCCCTTTCGTGCGCTCCAAGCGATAAAAAAAATTCAATTACTGCACTGTGTCGTTAGGGACCTAAATTAATTTTTGCTCTTTGCAACCCTTCTCACACTCTTTTTATGTAAGTAATGGAGTGCATGCGTTGTTCGAAATTGTTGGATTTCGGAGCTCATTCCAAACGTACCGTCATTGGCACTATTTGGCGATACGTCGAATAAATGGTGACGTCAGCTTTTATTTTTTCGTTATTGGTCAGATAATCTTCCATTCCCACTCACGAAGCAAGGTTGTCAAGACACCAATTATAATCAAGTTATCAAAAAGATGTAAGAGTCCTGTCGTTGAATAAAACATAATAGGAGGAACCTATGATATTATAGTTCATTCTTGACTCTTTCGAGGAACCAGCATGTCCAAATATTTCTAATACTCTATAACAAAATTTCATGTATATGTTGGAGACTTGGCAACATTGTGCTGAATGCTGAGAAGAGACAAGACCACACCCACAAGTCGTGCGTACGGTGTCGTAACGTTCACCGCTTCAAATGTCCTCTAGTGTGAATTAATTTAATTACTATTTACACAAATGTATTATAAGCAATAAGCCACAAATCATAAGGGGACATTTTGAGACAATTGATTTTTTATTGCTAAATAGGAATATTGATATTACCATTACATAATTGAGAATTTATTAATGTTTGAATAACCAATATTTCTGAAGTTCCCAATCGTATTTCAACACATGGCAACTGTGCTATGGTCTGCCCCTATTTACGAAATCGTGACATCAGTTTTTACTGGCGATAAATCTCTATCCGTTTGAAAATTACCATGGCATTATTGATTATTTTAGCACCTTGAAATCGACCGAATAATTCTAAAAAACATGAAATTGAAAGGTATTTGAGTGATAATTCTATTGGAGAAATAAAAAGAATTAGTCCACCCGCCTATTGCACAGCAAACTGAGTGAAAACTCCTATTTCAATTTATAACTTTCATCTTTACAGCATGACAATGAAATGAATACAAATATTTCAAACCCTGAAAAGTCTCAACGTATACTATCGAATGGCACCAATTGAAAACATTTGGGATCGAAATTACAATCATTCGAATTATCTTGAAGCGGTGTATGTGTTTTTCCTTCGTTTTTTGTTCAATTTTCAAGATGAAACTTTTTGTTAATTATAAGAATTGTGAAAAATCTGATATTGTAGAAATATTCGTTGTACTGTATAATACTTGTGATGAATATGTGTACTTATTTCAAAAACATCTTGTATATTTTTGACAGACATAATATCATCACATCGGTGACCATATACAGATCATAGACAATCCTATTTAGGCGTTAGGTTGTAAAGCGTGGATCTTCACAGTTATTACATATTTTTACATATAAGATGAGCTTTAAAAGCTTCCAAATTCAATTTTATCTAATTTCCCAAGTCCCTTTATTTTTTATATATGTAATAGTTTTTTTTTGTAGGTGATAGTACTCCATGTAGGTACAAATAATCATGCAAACACGCCAGAGGAAATCAAAGATGGTATAATAGAATTAGTCGAAAAAATAAGGGAAAAACATCCTGAAGTTTATATTGTCATCCCAGTAAGTATTTGGTACCTTTCAAGATAAGATAAGGTCTCATAACTAAGAGATCTAACACTAATTGTTAGCAGAAGCGAGACGGTATTGTTTGCCTCCTATACCTCATCAGCCTCTATATACCCTATTTGAACACGCCATAATTAATATGAAGATATATATGTATACATATATCTCTTTATTTGGTTTAAAAACTAATACATAAAAAGTCATACATATATACCTACTTTTCATTAAATAATCCTTCAATCTTCTTTTGAATGTATTTATCGAACCACTCTCTTTATATTGTCATGTGATAGCTATCTAGTAACTCAGATCGAAGATAGGGTTCCTTGAACCACAAATTGCACTGCAGGAGCTGTCACATTGTCCTTGTTAAAAGTTTGCACCTCTTGACACCCCACCCCATCAAAAAAAAAAACGATCTTGATCTCACTATATTCTTCGACAAATTACACGTTAACACCGAAAAATGCAGTTGAATGACAATAGTAATGGCTTCGATATTTGAATAAAGTTTGCACCACTTGACACTCCACCCCATCAGAAAAAAAGAAAAACGATCTTGATCTCACTATTCTTCGACAAATCACACGTTGAAACAGAAAAATGCAGTTGAATGACAATAGTAATGGCTTTGATATTTGAATAGTTTTCATCCAAACTAGTGGACTGTACATTTTTGTTCGACAATCTACTGTCTGTCAGTCTGTCTGTCCATGTGTAGAAATAATGAGAAAAGCGTATCAAAATTCGTCTTGTGGGTGATGCCTCGCTCACGAACTCACTCACTTCTCTGGAACACCGTAGACAAGTTGGCGATCTGGCCCTATTTTATAAATATTTTTATGGACGATGCTTTTCTGAAATATCAACAATTGTTCCTCCTCGAGTTGAGGCTTCGCACCCTTTCGTGGTCACTTTGGAGACCTGGAGATCATCCCTTTCCAAAGACTCGTTTATCCAACGGCCAGCGAGGCTCTGGAACACATTGCCAAGGGCGGTGTTGCCCGAGGTATATAACCTCCAGAAATTCAAGAACATCAATTCCTACCATATTTCCCTTGGTTCTTACGATGTTCTCTGAACATTACAGGATATCCCTTTTCGTGGGAACCAGATCATAAAAAAAATGGCGATGATTTTTTAATATTTTTTTTCAAGCTAGTGGACTGAATGTTTTTTGATCGACAATAGGCGTTGTCAGCGTTCCCAGCAAGCACCAACACGATTGTCAAATTGTCAATTGTAATTTTTCAAGCGATTGCCATTTCATTTATTACAACTACTGTATTTCGTTTTTCCTCACGGTTGTGGCCGATATAATATATATGTATATTTTGTTTTGAAAATGCCGTTTTCATTTCAGACTCTACTGCCACGGGGACAACATCCCAATTTAGTTAGAGAAAAACTAGCGAAAGTAAATGTTCTTTTGAAAGCAGATCTGGATGATAGGCCAAAAGTTGAATTGGTTGAAATTGATAAAGGCTTTATCCAGCCTGATGGTTCAATAAGTCATCATGATATGCACGATTACCTTTTGCTCACGAATGCTGGCAGTAAGAAAGCCTTTGAACCTGTTCATGAATTATTAGTTCAATTATTGAACGAAGAGGAACCAGAGAAAGATCTCTCGCTTTCACTTTGAATTCAGTTTGTATAAATTGTACCAAAGGCTAGGTACTTGCAGATGAAAGTTGAAGAACTAGCGATAAGAGAGCGGCACCTGCGGAGAGTGAATTGAGAAACAGGCGTTTCTAGTGCTTCTGTATTAGCGAGACTTGATCCACTTTCCTTATGCAGGATTATTTATTTATGTATTTATTTTTGTGGTACTTAAGTCAAAGAATGTGAATATTTGAGCAATTATTCTAGCCTTTTTATGGCTTCATTGAAAAAGTCATTCTATGAAATTTAGTGTGACGTAATTTTTCTACACAGTATTAATTATAGCAAATTGTGATATTATTCCCTAATCAGTTTTTTTACTTTCCCTGTACGGTTTTTCGATTTTTCCTTTTCTGTGTTAGAATCACCTGGAACTAACTGAAATGATAATTATTTATTTATTTATTTATTTATTTATTGAAAATGTTACTTCCAGTCAGAATCAAGTTCTGGTATAAGGAAGTATAGTTAACAATAATACCTAAAACTATACAATTATAATAAACTGATGAATAATAAAATATTTGAAAACATTAATTATTAAATTTTGAGCAAAAATCAATTTGAATATGAATCAAAAGTAAGTCATCTATTTCGTTCAGAAATGATAAATTTTTTAAGATGGTATTTGATAATTATTCATTCTACAGATTGTTTATCAAATTGTTACATATAGGAGTGTCATTAAATTTTTGGAATCTCCATGAAATTCTGAATTAAAAAATGTATTACACATAGGGTTTGTATACAGTGCGTCTGTCAAATAAAGGGCTCTTATAATGTACTCTCATTACTTTTTAGTCAAACTATCCATTTCTGAGAAATCTCCTGAAACAGGTCGATTTTTATTTTCAAATTCCCAAATTGATGAGGGAAAAATCAAATACATATACAGGATGATCCACTTTTGAGTTATGACGTCTGCGACAATTTTTTTTCTAATGGACCACCCTATTAATCATTAAATTTTTGGAATATTCATGAAGAGCTGAATCTATAAATATATTACACATAGGGTTTTAATATAGTGCGTCCGTTAATTTGAGTGTTCTTGTGAAATTGGTAGTGTATAAATTCGTTAAAAATTGAAGGAATATTTGAATTTTACGGACGAATTGTATAAAATCCCTATTGTATCCAGCTTTTCATGGAGATTTCAATAATTGAATAATATATAGCGTGTTCTAAAAAATTGTCGCGGACTTCATAACTCTAACGTGGATCACCCTGTAGTAACTTAGATTATCCCTTATAAATTGTAGAACATTGTAATTAGAAAACGAGTTGTTTCAGGGGCTTCCTCAGAAACAGATACTTTTTGGCTAACAATGAATTTATCCACTACAATACACACGAGAGCTCTTAATTTAACGGACGCACTGTATATAAACCCTATGTGTAATATATTTTTGGATTCAGCTTTTCATGGAGATCCTTGAAATGTAATAATATATAGAGTGATTGCATTTGAAAAAATTGTCGCGTACTTCATAACTCAAACGTGGATCACCCTGTATATATGATTCTATCGACCTGTTTCAGTAGAAATGGACAGTTTGGGTGAATACCTTACGAAAACACGGTACATGCACTTTGATGGTTCCAAATAACTCCCCATTGATGTGTAAACAAACCATCCTTTATTACTGAGATACCGGACGTTATATTGATTTGGACAAAATCTTCATCAGGTCATAATTTTTTAACCACTTTGTATAATCTTTTCCTACTTGGAAGATATTCTTGCCTTATAGTGCCTAGATAAAAATCAAGATCAGAATCCTGGTCTGTCGCTTAGAGAGAACAGAAAACTTCTTTCAAAAACAACACCCTGTATTTGATGACGTAGAATAGGTGTGGTCTGATAATGTTTTAGCCACATTACTTTTCCAGTGTTTGATCTGTTACTGTGAATCAAATATTTGTCGAATAGGTAAAGAACTGAACTTCGCATTGGTGCATCATTGTTATAATATAGGGTAATGAACAAATATTCAGCTCAAAAGTATTACCACAAAAACGAATTGGTAGAAATTACGAGTATAATTATTGTTATATAACATATATCATTCTTGATGTCAGACGATGGTTTACTGGGATCAACCATAAAAAATGCATAAAAGCATTCTGGAGATATATTGTTATTGTGATACCACACTATGAGATTATTTATATAATGCAGTTTGTCTCCAGGGTCGAATCGACAGCGGCGCGATTGTGACTGATCTATAACATTTTGCCGCCTATTCATGTTTGCTGGGCTATATCCTTCTCCTCTAGGGCCTAGTGAAAAAGTGAAAAATTCCAAAGTGTAATCCGCTTCACCCCGCATTTTGGGGCGAAGAGGATCATACATTAGATATTTCAGAAAAATCACTTCAAACATGTCAATGGATAGAGAGAATGAAGAAAATTCATTTTTAAAAATTATAAATTTATTACAAACAAAGAAACGAACAGAAGTTCATGAAAATAGCTATCAACGTCTCAAGGTGGTGAACGGGACTGTGAACTGTTCGAACGCCCCCTTATACTCAGCCGACCCCTCTTTACAGATTTCACAGCCATCTTTCCTTTTTTTCAAGATTTTTTATAAACTCTCGGCATAATTTCTTCAATTTACATGTGAGCCGCTCTACCCTGTAACCAGTGAACTTATTCGTTTTCTCCTCTATAACTTTTTGAAAATATAACCTGAAACATTTTAGATTCGGCTCAAACGATTGACAACAGACTTGTTCATGTAAGTTTCACGTTTTCTGGTTGTATGTATTCTAAGGATGAATGCCCAGGTAGGTTTTCTCAAACTTCCAAAAACAGACCCAAATCTAAATACCTACAAATTAATTTTTTTTTACTCACCCGTGGTGTAAACAAACGTGTTGACTGGGGCACCTGCTCAGTTTGATCGATGAACACAAGTTGTTTACAGAAACCTGCATGCTCACATGAAATACACTATGATCCTCGTCACCCCACTATAACGGTTTCACCCCCGTTGACGGTACATTCCCAGCAAACATGAATAGGCGGTAAATAGCCGGGCCATCGCTGTCAGCAGCGAATACGTGTCGGCCGCGGCAAACCGATATCGGCAAAATGTCTGAATGACATCCGGTATGCCGCCACGGCTTGATGATTTATTATGTTTGTTTGTCATCCATGCCGTAATTGACCGTTATAGATATGTCATAATCGTGCCGCTGTCGATTCGACGCTGGAGACAAACTCCATTATATAAATAACCTCGTATTGTAGTATCACAATAACAATATAATTCCAGTCCAGAATCCTTTTGTGCATTTTTTATGGTTGATCACAGCAAATACTATCGTCTGATATCAAGAATGATATGTTATATATAACAATAATTATACTCGTCGCGTTGTCTACAAATTCATTTTTGTGGTAATGATTCTGAGCTAAATATTTGTTCATCACCTATATTATAACAATGATGCACCAATGCGAAGTTCAGTTCTTCACCTATATATTCGACAAATATTTGATTCACAGTAATAGATCAAAAACTAAAAAAGTGATGGCTACACCTATTTTACGTCATCAAATCAACTAAGTTATGATAGGTAAATCGTATGATCAAATATCAAATCTTTTTTATTTCTAACCGAATAGTGTCCCATGCCTTCCTTGTAGTGTGATCGCGGGGAAGCGGTGTCAGATCCTGAAAAGGTGGAGGTTGCTTGGGAAGTACTTCCAATCTATTAATAAAATAAATAAGATCCCTGTAGGGGCAATTCAGGATATGGTGGACGTAGCGAACCGAATTAGGGCTCTGCCTACGGTGTCTCTGTTTCCCGTGTCCTGAGTGGGTGGGACGGACACTTTGTAACCCGGCAGAAATCGCCAACATCATCAATTTTTTAAATATCAATAAGGCACCAGGGAATGACGGGATAGATGTCGTTCTCCTAAAGAACCTGTCTCGCAAAGCCAGAGTCCAGCTTCACTTTATACTTAATGCTAATATCAAGTACCCGCACTATCCAGAGTGCCTGAAGACCGGGCTTGTTGTACTCATTCCCAATTCAGGAAAAAATCTCAAACTTTCGGGAAGCTACAGCCCCATATCTCTGCTCAGTGTGGTGGCAAAGGTGGTGAATAACGTTTTACTCAGAGATTGAGGCTCATGTCGAGCATTTGGAACTGATCCCTGCTGAACAAGGGACATAGCACCACGTCCCAAGTGTCCCGAATTGTTCACGTGGTAAAAGATGATGGATGCCGAAAAGGCTTTCGACACTGTCTGGCACGAGGTTTTGATGTCAAAAATGTCTAAGGCTAGAGTACCTATTTTTATCATTAGAATTGTAGACTCGTATTTCAACAATCGAAAAATTAAGGTCAAGGTGCATGAATGACACCATCTCTGGAGATTTTCCACTCGAGGCAGGTGTTCTACAGGGGTCTTGTCTCCTCTGTTGTACTCAATTACACGTATGACTTTCCTGTGTCTGAGAGGACGAGTGCTGCATTATATGCTGATGACACAGCGTTGTATGCGCGCTCGTTCGACTCGGACATCGCCAGGATCATATCCAGATTCGTCTGGACAGGGGGGTCATACCGTACTTTGAAGAGTCGATCGAAGATCGGCGTAAACAACACGAAAACTGAAGTTATCAACTTCAGTAGGAAATTTACTAATAATGTGTTGCGCCGGCCTTTGACTGTAATAGGCACGGAGGTTACGGACTCACCCGTTGTGAAATACCTGGGAGAAAAACTGTCTGTCATTCAGATATAATTTCAATTACTCTGGGTGCGATCAGGAGCTTGTATCCTCTGTTGGCCCAAAATTCCGTGCTGACATTGGATATATCAAGCTCTTGATCTATAAACAGATCATTAGGCCTGTAATGACATACGCCTGTCCGGTGTAGGAAAAATGGTAATCGATACACTCGGGTGGCGGATCTCCATGAGATGTGTCGGAACATCCCTTATATCAGAGAACACATCATGGAAAATCTCTAACAAGTTCTATAGATTCCATGTTCAGGGTAGTGAGCTTACCAGAAACATCACTACCACCAGAGCTGAACATGGAATCTATAAAAAACACGGACTGATTTACCGACGTTTTCGGGAAACCCCTAAGCGATTAGTACGATTCTCAACGCGAAAAACATAACTGTGAAAATTGCGGGGACATTCTCCCTCATGAACCTTTATAACCCAAAAGTGTCGGCAGATTGTCCGGCGACCTACTATAGCAACCGGTGCGACACGAGGTAGCAAGGCCGACGATGTATCATGATCGTGGCCCGCTGATGTTGCCTTTCGGCAGTTTTTGGAGGGCAATGTGACGTCACAAAAGTGAGCCTATTTATCGTATTGCCATACTTACCGACGTTTGAGCATAGTACAAGTGTGCTACCTGGGCTTTTACTGTGCTTCTGTTATTATCCTAACGCGTTCAAGTAACAGTGGAATCAGTAATTCGTAATTTCACCTTTTAACCAATCTTTACAACGAAGAACACAAAACCTAAACCTACTATTCTGGCGCTCCAACCCAATTTAGTGTCCGTTTGAAAATTGGTTTTTCGAGGGAAACGAAAAAGTGAATCCGTTTTGGGTGCAAATTCGAATAGGAATTGGACGAGTTTCTCGAGTATTTCGAGCGAATTCATATGTCGTCGCGACGTTTCCACATAGTGTGTGGACTGTGCGGTTCGCCGGTGTTCGTACAATGACCAAGGACTTTTCGTTCTCGAACGGTCTTTCCGAGGGTCTTTCGGACATCGTGATAGGGTAAATGCACCAGAAGTCGAACAGTTAACTAAGAAATGTTACTTCATCGAACTTTCCCAAACTTCCCGGACGTCTTCGAATTTCCCTAAAGTTCCTCAAACTTCCCAAACTTCTTCGAACTTCCTCAGAATTTTTGAATCTTTTTTCGGAAAAGTTCGAGTTCAGAAGTTGAAACTCAAAACTGGCACTTTCATTCGTCCAATCACGAAACTAGCTCCCTTCCCATTAGATTAAATTGAAGATATTATTTCAAGGGGGAAGGATGTTTGAATTCCATAAATGTTATTACTTTTTAGTTGATTTGACATCAGTAGCAGCAGTGATCTAGACTCGATTACTCTGTCTGTTACCTAGTCACGGTTTCAATAATTTTATTTTGAATCATGAAATCAATTATGACATTGTCTGTCAGATTTCTCGCTGAGTTTTTCTCATCAAATGTAATAAGTATGTGGCAAATAAACTGTTGAGGAATCAACAAGCAAAAATGTATCCTGTGGTGTATTCAATAAAGATTTATTCATAAGAATGAAAAAAATATATTCATGACATTAATTAACATATGCAGAGCATTTTTAGGCTATTTGAAAAAAATACAATAGCTATTTCGCATTTCTTGGTTCTCGTAGGATTCATTATTCAATGAGGCTAACATTTTCATTCTAACCAGTTGGTAAAACGTGAGATCAATGTCAAAGCCATAACTTTCAAAATTTTGCCGGATAGCCCTAGAGGCTGTTGCCTGTTTTATCGAACATATTCGGAAAAAAGTATGTAGAATATTTCAACAAATAGAAAATCTCAAGTTATGGAAAAACTTGAGCAGACTTACGTTTTTTCTCCCAATGTGGAACTTTACGACCAACTCTTACATTGACTAAGAAGAATAAGATCGTAGGAAGAGGCCAAATGACACGAAAAGAAGTATATTTATCAGTGTTACCAACTCTGACCTCACATCTCAGTAGGGAGGTCTGGTGGACAATAAATATATATAGTGATAGCCATCATTGAGTAGAATAGAATATGACATTGATAATCCTCATTCAGTACCTTCATTCATAGATTTTCTTGTTGAATTCATAAAATGGAATATGAAACAATGCAAACATGATTCATTAAAGGAAATCAATATGAGATCATCAATAATAAAAATAATAAATATCTATTAAATAACATTAAAAAGAAATTCAACAGAATATACATAAAATTACGAACTAAACATCACAGATTCACAGATTCTAATAGCATGCTACTCACATTGATTAAATAATACTGAAAAATATCACATATTCTTAGTTAGGTACCTACATTATCAAACAACATTATGTCTGGATTTCATATGCATCTTCAAATTGTACTTCCTAGAAAGTACAACGCTACATATTGGACATTTCGTTCTACCCATATGGACAGGTTTGTGATGGTGGAGGCTGTATGGGTGCGTGAAAACTTTGTAGCATATGGGACACGTCAATTTGTCACTAGCCTTCATGTTTGCGTCGACGGTACTCTCAGAAGAGACATAGTATTGCTGTTCATTTGTTTCCTTTTTAACTAGAACAATACATGTACATTATGGAATACTTGCTCATTAATAGTACATTATACACCTAGGGACTAAAGTGGTATTTTAAATCCCAAGACAAAAAGTTTATAGCCCGACCAACGGGAGGCCATTCGACTTTTGGCCACGGTAGGAGAAACATGGCGTCTCCAGGCTAAAAGTCAGGTTAATGTGTGTGCAAGTCCAAAATTTTCTAATTACCTGATCTGGATTGAAATCCAATATTTAATGTGAAGTTTAAAAAGTGTGTGTGAGAAATATCAGGCTATTTTAACTCTACGCCGGTATAGAGGCCGGATGACGACGGATTCATCGGATAAGGGGGCCATACTTTGAAGTCAAACGTGCTCCATTATCTCTACGAGGGACAAAGAAGTTAAAAAAATTCAAATTCCTAGATTACAATTATCGATTATGTTACACATTACGTCGGGGGTCCGACTTTAAAGTCGGGTGTCCGAGATTAAAGTCGGGGGTCCGAGAATTAAGTCGGGATCCCGAGATTAAAGTCGGGGGTCCGACTTGTAAAGTCGGGGGTCCGAGATTGGAGTCGGGGGTCCGAGATTAAAGGCGGGGGTCCGAGATAAAAGTCGGGATTCCGAATCTGAAGTTAGGAGCTAAATTATATTCGTTAAATATGTGGACAGAAATAAATAATTGCCATTGTTACTCATCAGTTTGACGTCAGCAACATGCTCCTGAATTTTCTACATTTGCTTAAGAAACACCCTGTACATTTATGTATATACATACAATAATTTTACATCCATTGGATAATCATCACATCAGGATCAATCGAAATCCTCCTTTTTGGATGTACACTGAATGTCAAATAATGGATCACACCTGTACGATCATTATCGTACGTACAGGGTGATTGTTTATATTTTACTCAATAGCTGAGAATCTCATTGTTGAATAGATACAAATAATTGAGAGAATCGGAGTTGTTTTTTAGGTATAATGTCTATATGCTTTTGACATATGATTGTATGAACATATATGTATATAGGTAGGTACGTATAAAAAGTAACGTTCGAATGTTCCCAAAAGTTCTGTAATGAAGGTTCCATCATACTCTCTCTTTTAATTTCGCGATTCGCATTTGTTTGTTTAAAGGGTGCAAAAAGATTGTATAGATGAAACCCTACAACTTTCATATTTGAAGTTTTCTCCACTTCGTATAGTTGAAGATGTAGGTAGGGATCAAAATATGAAGAGACATCCTGTACAGGTGAGACCCCCGACTTTAAAGTCGGGATCCCGAGAATAAAGTCGGACCCCCGACTTTAAAGTCGAGATCCCGAGATTAAAGTCGGGGGCCCGACTTTGAAGTCGGGATCCCGAGAATAAAGTCGGACCCCCGACTTTGAAGTCGAGATCCCGAGATTAAAGTCGGGGGTCCGAGATTAAAATCGGGATTCCGAGATTCCAGTCGGACCCCCGACTTTAAAGTCGGGATCCCGAGATTAAAGTCGAGGCTTTATAGTCGGGATCCCGAGAATAAAGTCGGACCCCCGACTTTAAAGTCGGGATCCCGAGAATAAAGTCGGACCCCCGACTTTAAAGTCGGGATTCGAAAAAAAAAAGTATAGGTGGTCCTTCAGCGCATTTGTACATTATCGCTCAACTAAATTTGATGAAAAAATATTGGTACAATTCCATAATTATGTTACAAGTGGCAACACTGCAAAGAACTGTTCCGGTTAGTACTTTAGTACTAGATTTAGTACTATTCAAATCCGAAGTACTTTTTGATGAAATCTAGTACCAAATAAGTTTCGAGATCATTGAGTTCACATTGTTCGCCAAGTAGATGAAACTCTCTCATAAGTGATACATTTCTTCAATTTCATATAAATATTTACATTACTTTGATCATTTGAATTTCATTTTTCATTTTGATATTTTCATATGGTGAAACTATTACACTCATATTTTTTTGGCGGCTTGAATTTGTGAATAAAAACTATGGAAGCACCTCGGAGGCAGCAAATATGAAGAAATTAGAAATTCACTACTAAATTCTCAATTCTAGTACTTTTTCGATGTGTGATCTAGTACCATATATCTTCGGTCAGGATTATTAGGCAGCGTCTAGGGAATCTTTCAAACCTCAAGTTAGGAAGGTTATTATATGAGGAATGAAAATATCTCTTCTGCATGGAAAAGGTAAGTACTTTCAACCTAACTTGTTCTAAATTAAACTATTTCCTAAAAAGTATATTTTTGCAAAATTAATTGATTAAATTTTTTTTTATAAAATTGACGCCTTGCAGGGATTGAGAACCAGTCACCAAATAGGAAATCAGATACACAGACCACCAAGAAGCTATCACTCTACAGGTGGTAGTCCTAAGTTCTCAATATAAAGAAGGAAGAAATACCCAATGAACTCAATAGAAATGTTTATATTAGCAATATTCTTTTTACCTTGTTACATTCTCACTACTAAGATCAATTGAGTTAGAAGGAGGTGAGACGGATCTGAGTAGTTGATTGAATACAAAGAACACGTTTTTATCTGTCAGGAAGGGCAAGGGAAGAGAACACAACCCAACATAATTCAACCAAAATGTATAATGGCTGAGGAAATTAATGAGGAGCATAGAAATATTATTGTAGTGAGTATTCAAAGGATTCAACCTGTGGGTGGACTGAAACTTCAAAGCTGAAAGCATGTTGAAATGAAAATATAACCTCACAATTTTCAGCACAGAACCACAGAATTACTAGAATTAATCCAGTCTCACCTTTTTCTCACTACAACCACAGTAGCTACAACACCAGATGAATAGCAAGCTCAGTTGGGGTGAGGGAAAAGAAATAGTCTCAATAAGTTCTTAAGACAACTCACATCAGACTAAGATGAATGGAACATGTAATACGACTGAGCTATTGAGCTGCACTGAGAATCTTGGTTCATCTCAGTCAAAGTTGGTAAAAAGAATATTACTAATGAGTTCATTGGATATATCATGTGTTATGGGTGATGTCACTTGACCTTGATGTTTGAAGATTCACTGGTCTAGTTTAGCTAGACGCTTGTCACTGCCAACAGCCGCCTGAACCGGCTGAGCCTGTGCCTTTGAAGCCCTTGAGCCGCCAATTGGCCGCCAATCGCCAATGCTGCCATATTGATGAATGTTTTTCCATGAATGAACATCATGCATGAAATGAATATTAGAATTTGAAGCTTTACAAACACATGAAATGTTTTCTGGTGTTTGGGCAGCTCAAATACATGTTAACCATCATTCTTAGAATATTTGCAATTCATTCCAGAACAAGATAAGATAATATATTATTCTAAAACATTTTCATGGGGAGGGGAGCAGCAAAATCTGAGAGAATTATGACAATTCCGAAATGTTAGTGGTGTTGTGGTGACAAGTGTGTTGACATTCTTTGAAAATGAATGAGATCAGATAATATGCAAGTCAGGTGTCATGAACTCTAAACTCACCTGTTTGTAACAAAATGTCTGGAGGAAACTGGGATTTTTTTTGGTCAGATACTCCATCTGCATGGATAGTTGATAACATTTCTGATTCACATTTCACATAGTCTGAATCATTATCTTCTTTAAGCTCTTGCAACTTCTTCAGAGGCCTCTTTCTCCTACCAAGTCTTTTGGCTTTTGGAGGCAATTCTATTGTCTGTTCTACATCAATAAAAGTTTGTCCTCGAGTTTGTCTTTCTTTAGATTGTGAATCTTTTCCATTATCAGTGAGACCACTTATTTGTAAGAATTCTGCAGTTTGAATGAAACTATCAAATACTTCACTATCAACACTAACTTCTCCACTATATATGAACTTCAGGATGTCTGTTAGGACTTCACACTTTATTCCTTTCAATACGATAATAGGGTGCTCTTGTGGAAATTCACGAAAGAGATTTCTGAAGTAACTACTACAGGCTGACAAGAGCATTTTGTGAGCACCAATTTTTGTACCTTCAGCATACAATGTGACGTCAATTAATTCACTGTTGATCAATAAATTATCGAATGCATTTTTGACATGACACATATGATTATTCCAATTTACAGCAAACTGTTTAGTATTATCAGTATTCATAATGATAATTGATATAAAGTTGTTGAATCAACTTTAGTTGACTAGAAGTTTGACTTGTAGAGAGACTAGAGAGAGAGACTAGACTCCGCCAGTGTTGCCAACAGCCAGTGTTGCCAACCACCAGTTGTTGAAAAATGCCAATGTGCTTGTGAAAAGAAGCTATAAAAAGCTAGATCATGAAAAAAATGAGCCGCAGGCAATTTTTTTCAGAAATCTAGCTTATTTTTAGCTTTTTTGATACTTATTTCATACTATTTACCACTCGTCGCACTGGTCTGAACTTTCTCTCACCCAACATTTTGTGTTTGTTCATCATGTGTAATTTTAAATCATGCATATAAATATAAATGTACTTACTGACGACTATAATAATTTCAGTCGAATGGAAAACGTTATTTCATTGTTTAGAAGTTAGGACTCAATGTTTCAGTTTTCTCAACCAGGCGTTTGTGAATGTTTCAGTATTGGGCATGGCTTGTATATACATACACATGATTCAAAAATAAGGATGCAAATATAGTTTTTCATAGAATCAAATCAATAAAATATTAAATATTGAATAATGTTGCTAGTTGTAATTGTTTAGTCAAGTATATATAGTATGCCGACCAGTCGGCATACTATATATATATTTTTTTTTATCGCTTGGCGCGCACGAGAGGGAATCCCTATAATGTTCAAAGAACATCGTGCGTTCCTAGGGAGGATAGGGACAGGAGGTAGGTATTGGAATTTTTTTTGAACTTTTGGAGATTATATGTTGTTGGGAACACTTCCACAGGCAATGAATTCCAGAGCCTAGCCGTTCTATGGATGAAGGAGTCTTGATAAAGTGCTGTTCGACATCTTTCGAGGTTGACAACGAAAGGATGTGCTGACTGGGCTTGTCTAGTTCGTCTGATTGGTATTGCTAGTGAAGGGATGATAGCAGAGATTTCCGAAGAACATTTCCCGTGGAAGTATCGATAGAAAAGTGATTTTTTGAGTTGCCGACCGATTTTATACAGAAAAAATGTATTCGATTGAGTTCATTGTAATGATTATATTCCACTGAATGGTCAACAGTCTCGAAAAATAGTATCGTTTGCCGACTGGTCGGCAGCATATACACTTCCAGTGTCGACCGGATCTGAGGTTGCGACCAACCCATGCGACCGCCGACCACTGACCAGTGTTGCCAACAGCCAATTTCAGAAGCGGCTAGGTGGTCGTTGAAGAAAAGGTTGAAATATGGCTAAAAATGAAGGCGCGCCGCAGGCGAAACATTTTATAACAATTTTTCGTCAAATCTAGCCATTCTTTGAGAATGTTCTTGCAAAAACAAGAAACCTGTCGATGGACTACGAATCTGACATTGGTAGAAATCCCCCAATATTTTACTTACTTAACCCTTTGTAGTTTGAGTTTTGACTTGGTTTGACTACACGAATTCAATACGACCGGAGTTGAAGCACCGTGCCATGAGGGTACGATGCAACAAATAATCCGTCTGGTGAATATCGATATGCCGATAAGTTCGATATATCGAAAGATATCGATTAGTATCGATTTATCGAACTTCATCGATCGGCATTTTTGAATTGTATATCGTTATTCGATATATCGATTTTTATCCCAGGCCTAGTGCTGATATTAGCGTTGTGAAATGCCATTGTGACTGGAAATCCAGTAGTATTGCTGAGAGTTGTATTGAAAACTCATTAGCTAACGAAAATATGATTGCTGAGAAAATTCTTGTGGGAAAAGATTGGTTAAGGGAAAACCAATCATCACCTTCCAACGATTTGATGCAAGTGAATATTAGAATACCGAACAATGCGAATGATATTCATTATAAAATTCATTATGAAATTGAAAATAGTTTATTTTTACCGATATGTTGAGCAAAAATTAATAGTTATCGATATATCGATAACTTTGTAATCCTTATATATACCAATATTTCGATAAATCGATAGTTATCGATATCTCGATAGTTCTCGATAATTATTGGAATACCGATAGTTATCGAAATATCGATAGTAATCGATATTTATGAAATTATATATTGTTATTCGATATTTCGATATATTTATCGATATATCGATTTTTTCCCCGACCTAATGAGGATTATTTTCCCTGTATGTTTGTTTTGTACAGTTTTGAACATGTCACAACTCTACGTCACTTCTGCAATATAAGAGCGCTAACTCACTCAACCGCGACATTTTCTTCGCATCTGACTGTACATAGGTTCGAAGGAATACGACAATGGCCAATGGGTGGTAGGGTGGTATGGTATGTATGGTATATATGTGTGTGGGCGGACCGGGATCTGACGCACTTGGGCCTCCCTTTTCGGGCCCATTGTGCACCCACATTCCTGGGATCGCAAGTCAGCCATGGAGAAGGCCGATCTCGCGAGCAAAAGAGACCAACTTCCTAGGCCAAATCTTCTTAACATCCTCTGGGTCCAGGATACTGCTCCCAAAATGGATATCCCTTGCTGCCACTATTGCCGGGCATTCAGTGAGGATGTGAGTAGAAGTCTCTTCATCCTCTAGGCACCATCTGCATTCAGGATCCTCCACAATCTTGATCATGCTGAGATGTTTGTTCAGGTGGCAGTGCCCTGTCAGAAGGCCCACCACCAGTTTCAGCTCCTTCCTGTTCAAAGCCAAGAGGGCATTGGTCTGTCTTCGTGACGGGTTTCCTATATGGAGTTTGGACTGCCTCATTCGAGGAGTCTTTCTATCCAGCTGTCCTGAAACTTTTCCGTCAGGATTTCCTTCATCTTGAAGTTGCTCCAGGATCGAGTGACCCCTAAGATTGGCTCTGGGCCAATCACTGAACCCTTCGCCCCCTTTCTGGCCAGACCATCGGCCATTTCGTTACCTGGTACCCCTGAGTGTCCAGGGACCCACAAAAGACATACTTTGTTCGTTGCTGACAGCCTTTGTAGGCTATCTATGCACTCTGACACCAAGGCGGAGGTCACCCTATACGAGGTGAGCGCCTTGATCGCCGCCTGGCTGTCAGTGCATATAGTGATTTGCTGGCTGTGATAGCCCCTGTGGTAGGGTGGTGTACCTGCTGTCTATCTGCGGGACAGACAGACGTTTGTCATTCAGAAAATTTCAAATATTTGATACAGAAAACCCAGGTAGCAATCAGGAGCTTGTATCCTCCGTAAGCCGGAAATTCCGTACTGAAATTGGAAAAAAAGCTATTAGAGGCCTGTAATGACATACGCCTGCCAGTGTTTTGCAGCGCCTTGCCTACCCAAATAAATAGGAAAGGTGGATCATCCTGTAGGTGAGCTGCAGAACAGAGATGTTTGGAAGTTGATGGTGTTCTTACTCAAGACTGGTACCATATGGACTGGTACATTGGTCAAAAAACTGACGACACTTATGGACATTCGTCAGAGGCGTTGATATCGTCATGTTTTTAATGGCTTTTGGACCAAATAATAACAATCACAATCAAAAAAATACAGGAATGGTATAAGTACGTTCATTTTTGACAGTGTTTAATAAGTATAATTCCTAACCTAACTGGATTCCTTCGGAGATTTCTCATCATAAAGGAGCCAGTCTTCCGGAGATGAGCCATATATGAAAATGTATCACCTTGAATTGTAGGACTTCTTAGTAAAGGCTGGAGATGGACATTGATGTTTTCAAATTAAAAAGTCGTAGACATGCCTTTGTGCTTTTCTCATTGAATACGAACCCTATCACTCCACTTTGAACTAAAATAGACTTCTACCAACCTTTAAATATTTATTACTACAAGCCAGAGGTCTGGAAGCCCGCCTCTTCAATTTTCATCGTTTTGAGGATGACTTTGAACATCAGTCCAAGAGGGAGACATGCACAAATTATATAGAAATTCAGGCCGCTATGGGGACTTAACATCTTCGACTGGACATTTATTTAAACACCACTTCTACGACCTCAGCATTGTCGATCTAAATGAAAACCTATAGTAGAGACGACCTAGTAAGCGAGGAGGTACAATATTATAGCTCTTGCCTACTAACTACCTAACTAGGTTGTCATCTAGAACGACAATGACCTTAGACACAGAATGCTGATAGGCCTCCTTCCAGTCCTTTCTCGTTCTCGTTCAGGATGCCGCCAGAACTGTTTTCACTGATGTTACGGATATGACGTAGATATAACTGACGTGATGTGGCTGGAGGCGGGAAAATTCAAATAACACTGATTTGTTTTTTATCTCTTGGAGCGCACGAAAGAAAATTCCTATAGCGTTCGAAGAATATCGCGTGTACCTAATAATACATAACAGGGAGGAGAGACATATTATCGAAGCTAACAAGGTCATAGATTATTCATTATACTTATGGTGAATTTATGCACAACTTAACAAGTACCTATTAACTTGAGAATGAGGGGTAATGATTGATTGAGTTCAGATATCAATAATTCTGAATTCACCAATCACCTTCTCAAACTCTTGAGGAGAAGTAAAGTTGTGCATAAATTCACCATTACTCTGTTCAAAACTACTGCCACCAATTAGGTGTTGAGTTTCAGTTGTTTTTTACTCAAAGTGAAAATGAATAGGAGTAGGGGGTAGGAACTAATAATGTATTTCAAGTATCCAGGTAGAATTTGAAAATATCCTATAACAATTCCAGATCAAAAATAATATCCTTTCTTCTTCTAAGAAAAAAGTTTTGTAATAGATGTAGGTATACTATACACAAGCTACCAAATCGAATCAAACAAAATAGGAACAGAAAATATCCAGGTTTTATTAACAATAGCTTATCAAAATTGGTGAAGAATACCTGAACACAATTTTTCGAAAATTTGTAATATATTCATTATTTCATTATTGAATTTGAAAACAAAATGAAGAAGATGGTCATAGAAGCAGCATCATTGTACCATCGTGTTAACTTTTTTGCAAAATCAGGTTATTGCACCCTACACTGTTTCACCACTAACCAACCCGATTTTTTATACGCGTCGATATTTCGCTAACTATGTTAGCATCTTCAGAAGAAGATAAAAACTGAATATTCTATTCTATATTGTGCTACTTATATACTAGGTATATGTCCACTCAACCGTGAAAAACACTAACTGCCATAAAAACCAAGGTTCAAAGGACACCTAGTACATTTGAAATATGGTAGGTTAGATAAATCGTGTGTAGCCGAACACATGTTCAATCACAATCATAACACACATATTAACAACCTCAAATTAGTTAAGCAAGTTAATAATGTTAGGAAATTAGATGCATATGAAAGCATAGATATATTTAAGAAAAGTAATAGAGTGATGAATGAAGATAATGGACCTATTCCATCTGTATAGTTTAGTGATATAAGATTAAGGTGAACATGTGAACTCAACTATGACAAAAATTAACTTGGCGGTTAGTGTCTTTCACGGTTGAGTGGACATATACATAGTATGTAAGTAGCACAATAGAATAGAATATTAGGTTTAATCTTTTCCTGAAGATGCTAACATAGTCATTGAAACACGTGTCGAGGCGAATGAATAATCGGTTTGGTTGGTAGTGAAACAGTGTAGTGTGTTATCGTGCCAAAGGTTGCAGTCTTAGATATATCAAGTTATTGCAAACAAAAAGCATTATACAGATACTTTGAACTTAAGTTGGCAGATTGGTAAAAGTATCTTTGAGCCACGATACAATGAAAAACATTTGGAAATATCAAAAATGAAAGTGAATACTCTAATTTTATCATGAAGAAATCACAAATGTGTTTTACTTGAAACATGTTGTATACTTACTTTACATCTGAATTCTAAGTTGTGTCATTACAAATATTTTATCAACATTTTCATTACAGGAATAAATGATAAAAGCAGTTTATCAGAAATAATTCTGCATCATATTTTTCATATCTTTGGTTACTGAACATTCACATTAAGTATGTACCTCTATTTCAATCCTCAAATGAGAACAGTGCAGTAGGTATACTGATATGTAAAAATGTCTAAATACAGATAGCGATTTCTCAACAGTAAAATCTTATTGGGACATGAATATAAATTGCCAAATTTAAGACACTTATGGGAGGGAACAAATCTTGAATAATATAAAAACAAATTGACATTCCTAGGCCTATACTATAATTACATCAAAATAACACTTACAGCGCACAGCTAAAATATCATGAAGGTACACAAAATATTCGCAGTAATAGACCATTTCAGTTTAGTTCTTGTATGTTGATTGTCAGCGAACCGACATGAATTATAATAATTATCAACGGCTGAAAACAATTAGTATAGGTATTATACCAGGTGTAACAAGATCATGGTACACCTCCTTTTATCTTTTAGTTTAAGAGATAAATGATCATAATTTGAAATGACCTATACAGTTGATAAATGTAACTTTTTGACAATACATTCATTTATTGCTTAGGGATTTGATGGGTCACTTCAATCCCTGTTTTAGGGACTAAAGGATGAAATTTAGTCCTGAAACTGCTAATAATCATTCTAACTAGTAGGTACTAGTAAGTTAGTGTAGATAATGTTACTTACCTAATGAAAATCAGAACTCAAACTTTGACTAAGCATGAACAATAATGCTTAAGATTGTGTAAAAATTATGAAAAACAATTGAGAAGACAATGTATATTCATAGCAATTCATGCCAATAGTTCATACTTTCGATGGAAAATACTTGGACTATGTAATAATAAACTGCAATAGCAAGATCCGATTTTTCTCTACTGCAACTTTTCATTGAAGATACTTCAGCCATTTCATCATTCATCAAAGCAATAGATTGATGCAAATCATTAAAGTATTACTTCTACTCCTACTACTACTATTGCTTGTGGTTTCTAGATATCATAGTATATACAGGTTATTCAAGTCACATTAGGTTACTAGTGATGCAACGATTAGGATGAATTCATAATCAGACGATTTGTTCTGATTATGATGATTTACTAGGATTATAATTAATCAATTTACTTTGCAGGCTTGTTCGAGGCCCCAGAATCGGCCCGAATAATTTGCAAATGTTTCCTTTGTTTTTCAATGAACATTGCCGAAAGTGAAATTCAGGGTTATTGTATCGTTTTTTTTTTTTCAACAAGTATGAATTAGAAGAATGAAGTTATTTATATTATCTTATTATTTTTTTACTGTTTATGTGTAATTCATGTGCCTAAAGGGAGATATTTTGGCTCCTTCCTTTTCATACCGCTTCACACACTAGTTACATAAATAACTAGGCATTTATTGAAACTATTCTTACAATAGTTAGAAACAAACTGAGAGAATGGATCACCTGATTTGATTGTCAGTAATCTTTCATATGACACTGAAACAATAACAACAATAACTTCAGATCGTGTAAAACTAGATATCGGGTTAGATTAGGAATCTGATACTGGCGATTTTAAAATTGACATTATGATGTAGCCATCTCCGATTGAGATATGCACTTTCCATTCGTTTTCTGATAATAGGTTGGAATCATTGCATAGATAATTTTTGAAAAAATGTGCATTTTGAAAATATCATGCACTGGAAAATGACCTCTGACCCACGAAAGTGCAGTAGTCGCAACCGGTATTTTTACAAAACATTATATCCACATAGTTTGTCATAATTCTTGGCGTCTACATAATAATATATTATTTTACCATCCACCTGGTCTTTAGTCTGTCGACGCCTATGAGTCGATATCATTGAATAAGAAAGAGATAGTAGTCTCATGAACTATGCATACCATATCTAGTTGTAAACTATTTAAGCTGTGTAGCAAACTCAACCCTTATATCAGTGTTGCCAATGTCATTTAGAAAGATGGTACTAAGCTGAAATGGTCAATAAGGGAGGAGATAGGAATTTTCAGTGTTATGAGATTTTTCAGTCAGGGACAAGAAAAGTAGACCATGAACAGATCAGTCAGTAGCTATAATATTAACTTAATGCTACCTAGGTTAATAAATAATTATCTACATTGAGTATCCCTTTATTCAGTTTCAAAAAATGTGTATCAGAAGATGAAATGAAAACTAACTTGAATTTCTGAATACACACATTCCTAAAATTGCTTGTTTAGGGAATCTCTGTAGGATATGCTATAATACATAAAACAGTCGACTTTCTTCCACTCGTGAAAACGTGTTCGTTACTTTACCATTTTAGGTTTTTGATATTGTTTCACTTTGTGATATTCTGGCAAGATGAATATGTTGAGTAACATTTTTGATGACCTAGTAAGTTCTATGAATTTTGTTGTTGTGCGTCATACATATTGAGTGAATAAAATAATGTGGTGAGAGATGATGAGACGCTTCAACAAATATTGTTTGAATGTCAACTTGATAATTATAACTGAATTGAAAAAAAAAAACATTTAAAAAAATGTTCCCATTTAAAAAATATAAAATTGACTTGCTGACGTTAAAAAAAAGAGCTATTCCTTGTTCACCAAAATCGAAATACAAATTGTGACCTAATGGTTGTGTGAGAATTGAATCGACCTCAACTTCAGCAACAGTGAGAGGTACAGCAGGCACATGCGCACTATTTCAGTTCAGTGCAAGAATATCGTGGAAATCGAGTTAGCCCACTGCATTCATTGGTGTACTTCCTTTTTACAGGGCGAATGGACATGCGTCCGAAATGAAGATTTACGAATGATTCTTTTTTCTTTCTCGTAGAAGTTGGGGGGTCGATTCAATTATTTGCCTCTATGGCCTAGGACGTTTTTTTTGTCAAACACCTTTAATACCATAAATTGAGTAAATATATTAAACTCCACAAAATTCAAATTAACAATGAAGACAGGGTGAACGGGAAAATTTAATACATGGTGAGAAGCTAAGAGGGCCATGTTTAAGAGGAACAGAAAGTACATAAAATAGGACGTTTTATGGGTAGACATTCTAGAAGACGAAATATGAGGACATTATGCCTTTGCTTAAAATCTCTTTTTGCAATGCCATAACTATATGGTCGTTGACCATGTTTTGATGCATTTTTTTATCAAAAAGTATTTTCATCCATCTAAGAACAATCATAAAAAATAGATAATAACTCAGTTACTCAGTCATTTCTAAATTGAATAAGTCAAAATTGAGACAAGGTTTTCAGCTCAATATGTAGACATGCCTACATTTGTTCCAAATTTGTTACTGATTGCGAAATTGTAATTGGATGATTGGTTTTGTATGAGGAATAACTTTTATGAATCAATTTCTACCATACAGGGTTTTAATCAATTGAGTGCCGATAATACAAGGTGAATCCTCGGGTGATTTCAAAGAGAAGAGTTTATACTCGAGTTTATATCAATATATGTCGTAAACCTCTTAGTTTCTGAGCAACAGTGTGTTAAAATTGTAATGAAAAAGTGAGTTTTTTATCATAATTTCTCATCACTCTTAGATATTTCTATGAAATTTTGTACACACTTTTTCATCATTAAGGAGCATTTTTTGACATGAAAGATTTTTCCAGATTTTGACGGTTTTGGACTGATAATTATTATTGAAGCAGAGAATGGTACGCCACTGATGTTTCTGAGACCAAAATCATTTTTGAAATATCAATTTATTTTGGAGCACATTTGGCTCTCACGACCTACCGTTTTCGCGTAAAATATTTTCAATTTTTTTTTAATTTAATAGGCACCCACTATGTGGTGCGACGAAAATAATTTTCTGATTTCATCACCCTGTAGCTCAAAAACTAAGAGGTTTAAGACGTATGTTGATATAGAGTTTTCTCCTCGAACTCAACCGAAGATTCACACCTTGTATTATCGGCACTAAATTAATCAACACCCTGTATAGTATCATGTTTCATCTGTTCATTTATATAATGTTTTCAGTCAACTTCTCTTTCGTGGTGTTTTCCATTCGTTTATAGACAATAAATACATGAGAATTGTTCAACACTGAGTGCATATTATCATTATTATAATATACATGTTCATAAATGCAGTCTTTGATATTATAATTCATTATCATAATATTTTTATATTACAATAAACCGATAGTAAGTTGTATTCAAATCTTCCGTTCCTCTTAAGAAGTATAGGTACAATATTAACCTTTTCCCATTACCTGTGTCATCAAAATATTTCAATATTAAAAATTCATATATTTGAGACAGATAACTATTTTTCACGTTTTTTGATGGTACCTTGTGATGAAAGCAATATTCGAATTTTAAAGAAGTTCGATAAATAACCGCACTAGAAATAGTTTAGTTTCAAAATATCAGATTATTCAATATTTATTGATCACCTAACTAGTGCCTTAAAATTGTCATCTGACAAATATTCGAGAAATTCAATGTATTATGCACAATTAAAAATAGTTCGACTTTTTCTAAAAAATAAAAAAGCATTCTAAACTCTAATTTTATTTCCGACTAATATAGTTGATATTCTGATTCAGAACACACAAAGTGAAACATCACATTACCTATGTAAATGCACCATCAACATAAATATTCATTGAGTTACTCAATATACATTTCCACAGTCTTATTTCTTAATAAATAAATGTCATACCAGGACTATCCTGACTAGGTTCGTATCAGCGGCACATAACTTTGAACAGATTTTCCACACTTTCAAATGGCATTTGTAGCTCACCTTATACCTGCTTCAGTTGAATAGTTTTAGCTTGAAGATTCTAATAACCTTATCTTCCTCAAGAACTGACACAAACAAGCAGTTCTTTCTCTTTCCTATTGAGGAGCATGGTGAGATGTTCAAAAAAGTAGGTAATGCGACATCCGAGTATATGAAACAGTTAAATTGTTGCACTTTTTTAGTCCCATGATTCTTCAACATTTTCAGATTCACTCATTGCTTCATCTGCTTCTTCATGTTCCAGAGGAATTTCTCCATACTGTTTCAGTTTCTTTTTTGCTAATGCCTCTTTTTCTTCTTTGGTTCTCTCTTTTCTAAATTCGTAGACTAACGGAAATATGTATTCGATGGCAGCTTGTACATCAGCTACACTAGGCGCTGTAATAACGAATACTGCATTATTTTCTACTTAGAATGAAAATATTTAGTGTTTAACAGGTGCACAACTAAGGAAGGACAACGGCCATATCTTGAGAACCGTTGATCGTATGGTTGGAGCAAAATATACATTTGATAAACGTCACTTTTTGATTAATAATAGCTATTTATATATCAAGGGAGCAAAGGGATCCATTTCCTCCCAAGATATATATAAGATTTTATCCACGAACGCATATATTTGAGAGCGTCGTTCTTAAAATTGTGCATCAAGCGGTCTATCTCTCGAGTCTCGTTGTGGTCTCGATCCAAATCAATGTGTTACATGATCTAAGGATTTGAATCTAAACGGAAATAAATTTGACAGTTTGACACTTCTGTCACATTAAATTTGTTTATTGTGGCTATATTCCGAATTCAGTACTGAATCTGCTGATTTTTCATTCCGAAATCAAAAAATTCACTGAAAGTGACAGATACTTGTGAGCAGTCATATATACTATTCATTCCAAATATTTCGACCCAAAATATCATTATTTTAGAGGGGTAAGGTATGTAACATTTATTTCCGTTGTTTTCAATAATAAATTAATACTATCTGTTTTTGATATCAGAAAATGCCTGTTTATTGAAATTGGCGCTGAGAATAATATCTAGTTCAGATGAACGAGAAACTATACATAAGAGACAACCTGACAACTTTACTGACTTTACCAGCTGATCAACTGCTGCTGATTACTAATGAAAACCATGAAAAGTTATTCCGAAGTACAGCACTGTATTTTTGATTTCATAACACAGATTTTCAGCGGAGTCAGTGGATTTACTGACAATACTGACCAGTTGAATTCGGAATATAGCCACTGTGTAATGAGGGCAAACATTTTCACACTCACCAGTTGGCGCTACTAAAAGGTAAGGTCAGTGTCGAAGTCAAAAATCCCAAAATTTTGCCGGATAGCCTATTTTATCGAAAATATTCGAAAAAAAATATGTAGAATAACTGACCAAATAGAAAACCTCAAGTTATCGAAAAATATAAATACATAAGAGATGACGTTTTTATCGATAAATACATATTTAATTGTATGAAATCTCGAATCGAGGGCAGTAGAAAAAATCGCTGGAGCAAGCTCTCGCGATTTTTCACTACCTTGATTGTGGATTTGAAATGTATTTATCAATTAAAACATCTCTCGATGAAGAAAACTCGAAAATTATCTGACGGTAGTGACGGTGACAGTTGTTGTCAAAGTATAGAAGTGTGTTGATTAATGATTAGAAACAAAGTGCATATTTATCGGTTATTGGAAAAGCTAGGTAGCTTTTCATCACTTATAATTACACGAGAGCTTTTTTGTCGAAGTAACTTGACATTTTAATGAAAATCTTGTTGCCTGGAAATTCAACGAAAAAAATTGCCTTCGAAAAAATTCCGTAGTAGGACGAGTAATTTTTTCTGGCATTTTTTTGACTTAAATCTCCTGAGGGATAAATTCAGTTTACTTTAACCCAGAAAAAAAAATGCTCAAGTGTAATTCGGTAAGACAATTTAATGAATACGTAAATCACAGTATTGTTGATGGTTTTTCCAATTTCCACACTCGCACTCTCGAAATCGCGACATTCCACAGATTCTATACTTTTCTGACAACGTAATTGAGAAAAATTTAAATGAAAGCCATCAAGATTCGTTCACAATCCTGGTTGTGTCATGATTTCAAATGTTAGGTTTCGTTATGTTATATTGCTTGAAAACTAAGGGCAAAGTTTAGTCACTGTTATAATGACAAAATCACAGGCTTATGGGACTTTATATACAGGGTGTTTCGAAATTCGACCGACAACGTTTGACAGGTGATAGCCCTCGTGATTTCATAATCATTGAGATAGGAACATTCGGTCTTCAAGTGTTCAGTTCTCGAGATACAGGGCGTTGAAGTTGAGAAATGAAAATAGTTGTTTCGCAATATCTCAAGAATAATTGAATATAATGCATTCAACTTCGGTATATGGTTTCATCTTTGAATGGGCCATTTTTTGACCTGGAAGCCATTCCGGACATTTTGTCCAGTGGTGCCCTACAGGGGGTTGTGGCATTTTTTCCTTCCATATTTTCTACGCCACTGATTGAATTTCGATTATTTCCAATTCCTCGAATTCATTGTTCAATTTTGTTCAGAAAATGCATCACCTTCAACTGAGCTGAAATAAACAGTTTTCGAGATATTCGACCCACAATAGAAGATTGCATAGTAATATTTCATCATTTTCAGTAGTAGAAAATTGCAAAAATATTTTTCTGGTGTTGAGTAGATTAGATACTATTCAGATCTCATGCTATAGCTGAACAGAAATAGTTATTCCACGCATAAAGAGAGAACAAAAATGTTCGTAATTTTCTAATACTGAGGAAGATGAAAAATTACTATGCAAACTTCTATTTTGGGTCAAATATCTCGATAACTGTTCATTTTAGCTTAGTTGAAGGTGATGCACTTTTTCAACATAATTGAACAATCAATTCGAGAAATTAGAAATAATTGAAATTTCATCAGTGGCGTAGAAAATATGTGCGGAAAAGTTATCACAACCCTCTGTAGCACACCTCTGGATAAAATTCTCGGAATGTCTTTCTGGTCAAAAAATTAACCATTGGAAGATCAAACCATATACCGAATTTGAATGCATTTAATTCAATTTTTCATGAGATATCGAGAAAAAACTATTTTAATTTCTCAACTTCAACGCCCTATATCTCGAGAACTGAACACTTCAAGACCGTCTGTCCCTATCTCAGTGATTATGAAATCACGAGGGCTATCACCTGTCAAGCGTTGTCGGTCGAATTTCGAAACACCCTGTATATGAATTTCATTGTCACTACAAATGCCTGGTGATTGGAACAGGCGTGTATTAATCGGGGGTAAATACATGATTTTTTATTAATAAATAATGTTCAATTGTATTCAATTTTGTTGTAATTGCAAACAATTGAGAATCAAGGAGTATGCTCGATCGATTTTTTCTACTTTCCTTGAATCGAATTTTTTTGCGAAATGATAATAAAATTTGATTACAATTTGAAACATAAAAACAAAAGAGCTTCTTTAATCGGATGAATTTTTATTCCCAACGAAAAAAAATTGCCAGTTTTTCGAGTGATATTACTGATGGAAAATTTTTGAGTCAAGTGTAATTTATCCAACAGAAAAAGTTCCGAGTGTTTTTTGGCAAGATAAATCAACGACAGAATATAAATAAACAACATTACACAATTACATTTATCAATGAATTCGTTTTTCTAGTAGTTTTCGAAATTGATATTTTTATATTTTTTGTGGAAATATTTCTAAAACGACCCATCTTGAGAATTTTCGTGTGAACATTACGAATTTAGGAATATAAAATATTCATTTTCTTTCAGCTAATAATTTATTTATGTGCCAAATTTGAAATCATTGATATTTGGAAAATGAAATGTACTTTCTGTAATTTGACAGCTATGGATTGATCAAAAAAATCGTTGAGTTCGTATCATTTCCAAAGTAAGAACTGAATAATTAAAAAATCAGATAATGCAGACTCAGATATACAGGACACTGTATATTGAATTCATCTTCACCTCACCCCGTATACCTTCTATCAATATCGGAATCAGTCGTACTTGTTTGGGAATTAATCGGTTAAATGGATGACGTAACTGACTTGTCAACACAATGATGAATCAAACCAATCGGCAGTCTTGTTCTAGATTTCACCGCGTACGGTCGACTCAGGTGAAAAAAATAACTCGAATCATTCAAAAGTGAAGAATTTGAATTAATCTTCGGTTTGGTGAATGAATTTCATTTGAGTGTGTGAAAGTGGTATTTTTTCAAGACTTGATTCTTGAAATGATAATCGAATATACAGGGTGACTGACTTCAACGGTGACACTGATGACTCAATTTCTTTGCACCTCATCCCGTATTCCTACTATCGATATCGGAATTATTCGTACTCGTTCGGAAATAAATGTGTGCTTTTGTATATACGTATGGAAGTATTCATCACATGGCTAGTATTTTGCTTCAACAAATTTCATATAACGACGAAAACATTTGGAATTCGCTTTCTATACCTATATATACAGATGAAACTAGGTGGCTATTTATGCAACAAGTTGCCAAAATACTTGCCATTCTGTTGAGAGTTGACACAAATCGTTCAAAAATTTCAATTTCCAAGGCATGCTGATATTGCAATTTGAAACACCCTGTATTGACAGGTGTCGATGGAACTATTACGGAACTATTACGGAAACTTCGAACGCAAATATCTCTGTAATCGTTTGAAATAACCCTATCAAACTCGGTTATGGAATGAAATACAGGGTGTGCCATTTGAAAAGAAAAAGTGAGGAGTAGCTACCACAGGGCTGTCAAATGTAATCCATTTTTTAATAAGTTCTTAGGAAGGCGCTTCGATGCAATTCAAATTAGTTTTTTCATGTTCTGATTATCTTGTCAAATAAGCGAGATATTGCCTGTATACGATAACTTGGGACACCCGGTATACAGAGGAACCAGATGGATATTGATGCAACATGTAGCGAAAATATTTGCCATTCTGTTGAGAGTTAACAGAAATCGTTTGAAATTTAGTATTTTTTCAGGATGAAATAATTCACATTGTTTACATATACAGAGGTACTGAAAATATATATTAGAAATAGTTGCAAAACACCCCATTTTGTAGAGATTTATAGGTACACAAGACCATACGTAAATTGGTATATCACGGTGTAACACAAGGAAATTAATCGGAGTTTGATCAACTTCAATAAAAAATATTGTTTGCATACCATAATTGGCAATATTGTTACGACCCTGGCGATCAATCCCAGCTACCTGCGGTGGGATGTAAACAAGTCATATTTCTTGGAATAAGTAATTAGGTGATTCGACGGCTATTGAGATGACTCGAGAAGATTATCGACCTGTTCACGATATTTCGAG